TGCTTTTCTAGCTTTTTTACATAAATATTCATTTGCTTTGGTAAAGCTACCTGAAGGTTTAAATAATACTCCAAGATATTTGTATTCTTGTGTAATTTCTAGTGCATATTCATTGTACTTAAAATTGTCTTTTTTAATTACTCTTCCTGATTTATTGAATATAATAACCTTTGATTTGTCTATATTTACTGATAAATTCCATGTGTCACAATAATTTGATAACTTACTTAAACAATTCTGTAGACCTTTTGCAGATTCTGATATCAAAACAATATCATCTGCATACATAAGACATGATAAATTTACATTGTTTAATATAGTGGGGTCACATGAGTTGTCAAATATTTTGACAATATCATTAACATATAATGAAAAAAGTGATGGACTTAAAATACATCCTTGTTTTACTCCTACTTTTGATGAAAACGACGTTGTTTCACCTTCTGTAAATTTAATTGAGTATTTAACTTCATCATACATATTTTTCAAAATATTGAAAAAACAACCTGATAGGTTATAACAGGACAATTTATATAATAATGCTTCTCTGTTAACTGTATCAAACGCCTTCTTAAAATCAATAAAACAAACATACAATGATTTAGATAACTTGAAGGCCTTATCAATAAGACATTTTAAGGTTAAAATATGATCACTAGTTCTACAGTGTTTCTTAAATCCAATTTGTTCACTGCAAACAATATTATTTTTCTCTAGAAAATCATCTAGCCTGTTTGATAATATTTTAGTAAAAAATTTTCCAAAACAACTAGATACTGCAATTCCTCTATAATTAGAGGGGTCATTAAAACAACCTCCTTTGAAGATTGGTTTTATGAAATTTTCTCTCCATAAATCAGGATAGATTTCACATTTTAATATAGCATTGAAAATACAAACAAACACTTTTGCATTAATATTATAAGTAATTTTTAACATTTCATTTAATATACCATCAGGCCCACTGGCCTTTCCCAACTTCAACTTCTTTGCTGCTTTCTGTACCTCCTCAGTCGTAATCTCTGAATTTAAAATTTCAATATTTTGATTTTTATGAGAAGATATGTGTATATCTTCATTTTCATATCTATTTATATGATCTATATTCATTAATTGACTAAAATAATTCAACCATTCTTTTGGGGATATATTACAACTTGGGTCGTTACTCACTTTTTCTTTTAACTGGTTAACTGACTTCCAAAATTCTGATGGGTTTTTGTCTTCAGATTCTAAAATATTTTCCAATAATTTATTTTTAAATAGTCTATGTTTCTTTCTGGTTAATTTATTGAATTCTTTTTTATTAAAAGCAACTTTTTGTCTCAAATTTTTGTCCCAAGGATTATTACTTAAATTCCTAGCCAATTGTTTCACATGTCTGTATTTAACTTCACACTCGTCGTCATACCACAACTTTTTCTTTTTTCTCCGTTTCTGAAAATTTGGTTTATTTGAAATGTTTTTTGTACTTTTTGTTGCAGCACCAATCAAAAAAGAAGAAAATTCAGAAACTTTTTCATTTAATACTGTACAAAAACCTTTTTTGTCTAGTGATTTATTAATGTTTTCTAAGTCTTCACATAATTGATTAAAATCAAAATTTAATAAGTTTGACTTGAAAGAAATCTCCTTAGTATCATTCCATCTAATGTTTCTCATATTTTTCTTTAAACAATCTTGTAAATTTGTATCAGAAAATTGAGATAGAATTTTTACATGTATAGGACAGTGGTCAGAAAGTATAGGATTGAATTCATCCACCTCAAAACTCACAATATTTTGTAAAAAATTTGAGTTACAAATGCAATAATCATCAATTGAAGCTCCAATATAGTTATGATATGTTATTTTCCCTAATGAATCACCAATGGTTCTACCATTTAAAATTCTAAGTTGAGCATCAATACATAAGTTAACAATATTCTTTCCATATTCATTTGTGTTTTGATGTAGTTCAGTATTACGAAATTTTTGTATATTATCTGCCACATAATTAAGTGGTAAAAAATTGTCAAGAACATGATCTGAGTCATTTACTATAAAATCTTGATCCCCTTTGTTAATGTGAGCATTTAAATCCCCCATTACCATAATATCTCCCAACTGACTAAATTTTGAGATATCCCTCTCTAATTTTTCAAAAATTATTCTATCACAATTTGTTTTTAATGTGTAAGAGGAATTCTTTGGAGAAATGTACACAAAACACAAAAATAAATCTTTAGAAAATTTAAAAAACCTTTTGTCTAATTTAAACCAAAACATATCTTTTACTGATTTATCAACCAATTGAATACCATGTATAATACTTCTTTTAATAAAAGTTGCGAGACCACCACTTGGTTTCTTAGATTCATTTACACGACAGTTCATGAAACATTTATAGCCTTCAAATTGTAAAACATCTTTTGAGTTTGCATGTGTTTCTGATAGGCATACTATATCAGATTTCATATATTTACTAATATTATCATCACTCAATTTACATGTTCTTTGTTTATTTATATTTCTAAATAAACCATTTACATTCCAGGAACTTACAGAAATGCATTTTGACACTTTAATACACATTATGACAAATTAAAATGACCATTTCAACAGTACAGACTTTGCATAGTATCCTGCATATCATCATATCTTAATTGGACAAGAGTTATCTTTCTTGTTCCATAAAATATTAGCTTTTACTTGAAATGAACTTAGATTTGTACTTTCTTGGTCAAAAAAGGTTAACCTTGTAAACATTGAAATCTTTAAAAAGAATTAAAGTGAAAATTCAAATCTCAATAAAAATGAAAACTATCTTCACCTATATACAATATTATACATGTAAAACCGCTAAGATTTTATGAATTTCATTAGCTACAGTTTTTTGACAAGTGTAATATATAACTATGTATTAAAATCTTAGTGCTTCTTTTATGGCAGAAGCAATTCTACCAGCTAATTTGTCTGGTTCAAATAGTTGTGTATGCCTTTCATTATAAGGTAGGTTGTAACTAATGTTTCTCTGATAGTCATTTGGGTAACTCCTTTCTTGTGGCCTTGATTGTTCATTCGAACTATAAGAGTACGGTCTCTCATAAGTTGGTTTGCTGTGAGCATTGTCATATTGTCTTGATCTCAATTCAGGAAATAGTGCTCTTCGTAGGTTCCCTGCCAGTAATTTTATACCATGTTCTCTCGATAACTTGGTGTTATTGAAGAATAATTGTTCTATTGCTTCACCATTTAGTGAGAAATTACTGTTGTAGCAAAAAGTTATTTTTTCGGATCTTTCCAGTTTAGTTCTTATGAGATAATTCAGACTTTTGACTCTGTTGTTTAGATGTCTTGCTCGTGATGGAGTAGGAAGTGATATAACTATCCTATCACACTTTTGATGTGCCTGATTTATTAGTTCTATGAATTGGGTAAAAACATCTTCAGCGGGCTGGGATTTTAAGTTGTTAATTCCAATATGTAAAATTAAAGTTTGAGCATAGCTGATTTGTGATACGAATGAAGTGGTATCTTCAATAGTGTAAGTAGCCTGTTTTTCACCATTTCTTTTGCAACCAGCAATCAATCGCCTCATATCTATATCATTGCATATGGAATCATGTAGAAATAAAATGTCATATTCATTTCTGTTATTTGTACCTTCTTCTTTTTCATTTCTATTTTGGTAATCTTCACTAGATACAGATTGATTAGTAATTGTTTGGATTTCACTCCTATTGTCATTGTTCTTGTCAGTGGCAATAATGCTCTCTCTTTTCTCCATTTTATTTTCTCCATTATCAACTTTCTTACACCATGGTTCTCCATTTACATCATACAAATAGTTTTGGATCCGATCTTGAAGAGTGGTTATCATTTTGTCTTTTTCATCTAATTTGTTCTGAAATTCTTGTTTTAAGTCTGTTTGCTTTTCCTGTGTTATATTTACAATAATAGCAAGTTTTTCATTATCCCTAATTGTTATATCTCTCAGTTTGTTTACTTCTTCTACTTTTTCTAATAATTTTTCTTCTCTTGAAGCGAACTCTGATTGTAACTTAATGCACTGTTTTTCATGCATTTTGGACATGTCTTCAATTTTTTGATTCAGTTTTTTCGCTTCGGTATCTTTTTCTTTTAGTTGTTTTTCAAGCATATTGTTTGTTAAGTGAGTAGGCGATTGACTGAATGTTTTCCCCATATCTTTTAGTTCTTTAGAAATTACATCTTTGTAATCCTGATTATTTACCAGTAAATTTGACACTGATGATTTTATGTCCACTACAGCCCCCTCTAACACTGACAAACTATTTATAACAGGGTTCAAGAGTTTATTAATTATATTTTCAACTGACTGATGCTTTGGGTCGTCATCTGGTGTGTGTTTGGTTACTGGGGATTTCATTTGAACATCTACATCTGTAGCAGTTTTGGTGACTGTAGCACGGTCATTAGAATTTTGTAAATTTGTATCTATTTCCTGTCCTGGATTGTCCTTTGTTAAAGGTGTTGAGAGAACTTCCTTTACAGATGTTTGATCGTGACTGTCTATACCTTTTTTAATATGTTGTAGACATTTGTCAAAAACATAATCACCAAAGTGTTGCCATTCCCTGCCTTGAATCATCACTTTACCAGTGGATAGATAAACAATAACTTTGTACAGAAAATCATCTTCATTGTCCTTAATATTTGATTGATTATCACTTACTATGAATTCTGTTTGATTTATCATATCGTTCTTGCTATCTTTTCTATCTCTCCAGACAATATCATATGTTTCACTTGATTCAACCCATATTATTTCGGCTAGGGCAATTATCCAATAATGTATCCTGTCTTCAGACGTGACAAAGCAGGTGCAATTTGCTGTGTCCCTATATAATGTCTTGTCAATTGATTCAAAGGGTATAATTGCTCCTGAGCCACTTTTTTGGCGTTTCTTGAATTTGTTTTTTACTGGGTACACAGATTTTATATTATTCACGTGTAATGACCTTTTGAACTAAAACCGGAAGTAATTTGTTCAAAGGAACTTTGCATGCAGAAATGGATGATCAGTCAGACCAAGAAAAAAGTGGAGAAAAATGTGGAAATACTATTGTTAGCTCCATGATGGAGGACTTGGAAGACCTAGAAAAAGATTATATGCAGCTAGAGGTAATATTGCAGTGGTTAAAAATCATATGGTCATAACAGAATGCACTATTCGAATTCTGATGAAATCAAACATTTTATGGCCTCATTTATCAGTCTACGTTCTGCGCAAGATGACAGTTATTTTTCTTTTTATATTCTATGTGCTATTATAGGATGCCATACACAAATGGATAATGTACCTGATTTGAGTGCAATATTGCATTTAATTAAACCTCTCCTTGTGGCTTGTCACAGTTTGAACAGCTGATAAGGTTGAATGACACTGCCAGTGAGTTCAAGGTAAAACATTTCATTATCATGTTTTTTGGCCTTGAAACTTGTTAATTTGACTATATTTAACTTCTGATTACACACTTTTCATACATGTAACAGTTTGGGACAAATGAATTAAATAGTTTATTTGGAACAAGGCCTAAGGTAGTTAATCTCCCAGTTAGAGGATACCCTCTGAAATGGATTTTCTTATACATGGAAAGAATTTAAATTTAGAAGAAGATTATGAATAATGAATTTGTCCAAATTTGCATCTGACACTGAATTTTTATCACCCACTTTCTATGGACATGTCACACAAGTGGTGTAAAATTATCAATAATTCATGATCAGGTACATGCCCAGCAGGCACACAACGTTGAACCAACGTCGAAAATATGTTGAAATTTGGTTGTAGCGTTGATCAACGTAAAATCAACGTTGTATCAACGTCAATCCTATCAACGTTTAAATCATGTTGTTGAATCAACGTTGATTTGTGGTTAAAAATATCAACGTTGAACTGTCAACGTTGAATCAACATTGCATTTAAGTTAATGCTTTCAATGTTTTGATAGGTTGAAATTATAACGTTGATAAAAGGTTTATTTAAGGTTAATAATTTGGAATTCACTAGAACATGGTATTGTTTTACATATTGATTTTCATTATTGATTTCCCTTTTTGTTGATTTTTTTTTATTACTCTAGAAACCCCAAGTCAGGCCATAGATCTTCCTTGGGCTATTCCTGAAATATCCCCTCCAACAATGTTGTGACAAAGACAAATAAAATCCTTCCTGTTTAAATAATCACATTTTATTGTTATTTGTTATTATATATTGGTTTACTGATGTTTTTGAATAAAAACAATGATTACTGTTTCATGTGTATATAAATCTTCAAATTTACACGATAAGAGCGAATGAATTAACTTACGCGAAAGAGATTTCTTTTTCTAATTTGCGCATGCGTATGAGGCCGACATTTCGAATTTATTTGCGCCAATATGATTACCACAACAAGTTAATATTTGCTCGAAGCAGTGCAAAGTAAGTATAATTTTCATTCATTGTTTGCTTTAATAATAGTTATATGATAATTTAATGTAAACAGTATCATTTTTATTGTAGCTGTAATTATTCGCTTTCCCCGCAAGTATGGCAAATAATTATAACTCCTTTTTTGAAGTTCACCTATGTAATCTCAAAATCGATATTTTATATGTTGATGTAATTAAAAGTCAAAGATTTACAACACATGGCATTCTTGACCTTGGAATACATTTAAAACAAACAAATTGTTTTCTCTGCATCAGAATAGATGTCACTCACAGCATGTATTCCGAAGATTTACTAATCATGTGAAGCAATACGGCGGATAAGAAACACGTGTGACCATAACACATTAATACACAATCTGACCAATTTCAAAGTGGTATATTTGATACTGAGTTATGATAAAGTCGAAATAGATGCTTGCTCAATTGACCGTACTGAATTATTACAGCCCAAAACATTCAAGGAAATAGACAATATTCCTTGAGTTTTAATATTTAAACATAACCCATATGCATGTATACGTAAAATTAAAAAAAAGACGTATCACATGGGTAAGACTTGAATTTATTGCAGTTTGAAGAAGAATGTAAACTTAGGGTCAAAGTTGAACTACTGTTTGAGTGTAGCAAACATGCTGAAAATATTAATTGATGAAATATTTAAATATATAATGAAATATATCAATAAAATAAATTATACATGAATAAAATGAGAATGGAAATGGGGAATATGTCAAAGAGACAACAACCCGACCAAAGAGCAGAATAATGAATAATATTCATTTTGAATTATATGAAAGTATAAATAAACTCATCATAGATACCAGGATTGAAATTCTATATTTATAACAGACGCGCGTTTCGTCTACAAAAGACTCGTCAGTTACGATCGATTCAAAAAATGTTAAAAAGGTCAAATAAAGTACGAAGTTGAAGCGCATTGAGGACCAAAAATTCCTATAAGTTTTGCCAAATACAGCTAAAGCATCTTAAGGTGACCACCCAAAGATTTATCTGCCGAAACGCGTTGTTTTATGGGTTTTATACTAACAACATAGGCGGGTCCCCCCCTTTTGTGGGAAAAATTTGGTTGATTATGAATGGAATCACTGAAGCATGACTGGAGCGGGCCCCCTCTTAGGGCAGTCAGTGGGCCAACCCTTATGAAAATTTTCGGGATCCGCTACTGAACAATATGAGTTGCTGTAAAGATCTCGGTGCTTGTGGGGCATTACTGTATCTCAAGATGAGAAACTGTCAAGATCTTGGTGCTTGTGAGGCCTTATTGTATCTCAAGATGAGTGACTGTCAAGATCTCGGTGCTTGCGTTGCAATATTGTATCTCAAGATGAGTGACTGTCAAGATCTCGGTGCTTGTGGGGCATTATTGTATCTTAAGATGAGTGACTGTCAAGATCTCGGTGCTTGTGGGCCATTATTGTATCTCAAGGTGAGTGCATGACTGTCAAGATCTCGTTGCTTGTGGGGCATTATTGTATCTCAAGATGAGTGACTGTCAAGATCTTGGTGCTTGCGGTGCAATATTGTATCACAAGATGAGTGATTGTCAAGATCTCGGTGCTTGCGGTGCAATATTGTATCTTAAGATGAGTGACTGTCAAGATGTCGGTGCTTGTGGTGCATCATTGTTTCTCAAGATGAGTGACTGTCAAGATCTCGGTGCTTGTGGTGTATTATTGTTTTTCAAGATGAGTGACTGTCAAGATAAAATAAATTGAAATGCCATTAGCTTATTGTGAGATCTTCAATCTATCATTTCGAATTAAAATTAATTCTAAAGCCCTTGGTCCCAGAGGCGAACCTTTTGAGGGAAAAAATTGGTTGACTGTATAAGAAATCACTGAAGCATGACTAGAGTGTGCCCCCTATGCACTCAGTGGACCCCCTTATAAAAATTTCCGGATCCCCACTGATTCCCGAATCTTGTTGGATTCTACAGGACAAATTTCCCTTAATGCTACAATAAAAATAATTGAACTTAAAGATTTTCAACCAAATTGAGAAAGGATTTGGAAGTCCAAATTTTGTAAGCGTTTCACACATATGAAACTTTATTTTTCTATTTCAAGTTACAGAAGGAGTTGTGACAATTTGGAAATGCTGCACTTAAAAGTGTCTTTTTTGTAGATGTCTTCACCAATAAACCCATGTCTGAAAAATACATGACGGGTAAAAAGAATAAACGGCATGCCTTTGGTGGTTCAAGCTTTTTTGAAATAATAAGAGGTGAGTATTGAAATATATATCATTGTTTTCCACATTAAAAATTGTGTGAGATTTTGTCACAATTTCTTTTAAATGTGCTCTAGCATCATTGTCTACTAAAATCTATAGGTTTTTTGTATTAAAAATGATTTTTTTTATTATATATGAACTCAAGTTTAAAAAAAGCACATGGTTGCTCTCAATAAATATTTTTAAAAATAACAATATCATCGTACAGAGATTATTTGTTCACATATTACAGTCATTTGTGACAGTAGTGTTCTTTATTTGAGCTGCAAAATAATATTAACCTAGTTATGATAAAGATAGTATAATATGGTTTTTTTTTGTTGCAGATGCTATATAGCTACAAGTCACAAATGTGCAACATGGACAATAATATGGAACTTGTGTGCAATATACCTAAAATACGCCCTGAAATATCGGGAATGTGTCTAGCAAAAGGATAAACATTTTAAATAAAATTAAGTATTCAGTTTGTGTTTGTTTGAAATTGTAAGATGCATACGTGAGCAACATGTTATATAATTACTGTTTTATGACACAAATATATTTTGTGTATGAACACACATGATCCTGTCTATGAAAGTACAAAAATGTATGCCAACTGACACTACAATAAAGTTTAAGATTATCTATGCCTGGTAAGGTTAATAAGTTGTGCCTGTTCTTCTTGTCAAGTCTTGTATCATAAACACCAGATTCAGAAGTGAGTGGTCTCATTACCAGTATAATAATTACCAAAACAAAGGGAATGACTTATTTTCCACTTAATCATAAAATTTAGCGAAATACAAAAAGGGAAATATTGGAACAGGCAGAAATCTCCTAGATAATGAACTCTGCAACAGACTACATGTACACCAACCACCGACACATGACTAGTACATATAGTTTTGTGAAAATTTTATTACACATAAATTGGCACTGATATAGATATAATAAGTGGTAATGATTTCAGCTGTTAACCCACAATTTAACCAATGTTCAAAATCATATTCTCAACATTGACCACATTTCGATATTCGACTTGCATTAACGCTAAGCCTAAAACAGTCTACCTGGGCCCAAATCCTACCTATTTTCAACATACACTGACCACAGTTCAATCAACATTCGACAGGTTTTCAGCACACACTGACCACAGAACAACGAGCATTCGACCTGATTTCAACATACACTGACCACAGTTCAACCAACATTCGACATGTTTTCAGCATACGCTGAACATAGTTCAACCAGCATTCGACCTAATTTTAACATACACTGACTACAGTTCAACCAGCATTCGACCTGATTTCAACATTTACTGACCACAGTCCAACCAGCATTCGACCTAATTTCAACATATACTTACCACAGTTCAACCATCATTCGACTTGTTTTCAACTTGCATTGACCAAATTTAGACCAAAATTCAACCTATTTTCAACGTTAGAAGCTGACGTTGAATCAACGTTATGTTTTCAACGTCATATCAATTTTCAATCCAACACTACTTTTCAACATTGATTCAACGTTGAAATCCGACGTTTATTCAATGTTGAATCAACGTTGCTGTGCCTGCTGGGTGTACATGTTGTAGTTGTTGTTAATAGCAGGGCTCACACTAGCAGGTGACTGGAGCAAAGAAGTCGCTTTCCCATGCGTCACTTCGCTTTGCCCGACCATCAAAAGTGATATCTAGTCACCCTTATGTTCACATTAGTTGCTTGCAGTGGCTTTCATCAGCAATTTTCCATTTTTATCAGGTTGATAAAACAGCAATTTTCATTTACAAGTAAAGAAATTCAAAGATTTAAAGGATTTCATTTCTTTTTATGAAGTATTTTCTTTCTCTTCCGGTACTTGTTAGTCGAGAGCATATATCAAAACATTCTGATTTGTGGCAAAATAAGTTTGTTACTTCATTAGACATGTTAGAACGCGATAAAAATTGCCTTTAGTTAATGTTTCATTCATTTATGGCATTAACAATGATTAAAAGCATCATATTCCTTTCCAAATCACTTTTCAAACATTTTTTATTTTCTTAAATATGTACATCTGTAAATGCATTGTTTCAATTAATTGATTATCATGATTATTGTTGTATTATTTTTTTGTTAAATTTATACAAAATGTATATCTCTTTAATGAGAAACAATAAATTTCATAAACATAAACAGAATAGTTTTTTGATTGCTATGTGATACTGTCTTTCCAGTTTGCTATAAAAAAAAGTTCTTTCTAGTTCCAAATATTTAGTTGGTAGTTTTTGAAAAGGAAAAAATATAATTGTGTAACTATTTAAGACATAAACTGAAACAACTGTTACTTTAATTGTATTCTCAGGTATGAATTGATCAATATACAACTTTATATTATGGCAAAAACTAAACATTGTAGCACCGCGAGCTAACAAACACTTCTTTTTTAACACTGTTTAAGTCTCACCACTCCTCCCTACCAGTTTCAAAAAAAAGAAGTCACTTCTCCCTATGATTCTGAAGTAGTGTTAGAAATGTTATAGGAAGCGTGTTAAATATGATTATTTGTGGTAATATTGTTGTTACAACTTACATTACGAACTGTTCTATTTTTTGGGGGTGTTCCTGAGAGTATTGCACTTATATAAATAGATAATAGTCCCAGGTTATTCTCGAAGAATTTCAATGAACCATTGTAACATTGCCTTCTTTGTCTGATAAGAATTAAATTGAATCTATGTGAGAAGAAATGATGATGTCAAAGTATTTTTTTTTCATTTAATGACCAATGTCTTAAAAAATGAATGTGGATCTGTCATTTTGAAAGTTTTCTTGGTTATATAAATGCAGGGATAAACTTTTCTATTTCTGAAATTGAAGCTGTTTACAAATGAAGAAATCATGATCTGTGTCTTAAAGAAAAAATCAATTGTCAGTACAACATACTTATGTATCCTCACTTATTTGAAATGGTGAGTCCTAGCTGATCTTGATGAGTCCAGTATAGTGTACATTACAGGTTGTACTGTTACATCACTGTCCCAGGTGAGGGAGAGGGTTGGCGCACCTTCAAACTAGTTTAACCCTGCCGCATTCATTCTGTATGTGCCTGTCCCATGTCAGGAGCCTGTAATTCAGTGGTTGTCGTTTGTTGCTGTATATCATATTTGTTTTTCATTCATTATTTTGTACATAAATCAGGCCATTAGTTTTCTTGTTTGAATTGTTTTACATTTGTCATTTCAAGGCCTTTTATAGCTGATTATGCGGTATGGGTTTTACTCATTTTTGAAGGCTGTATGGTGACCTATAGTTGTTAATTTCTGTGTCTTTTGGTCCCTTGTGGAGAGTTGTCTCATTGGCAATCATACCACATTATCTTATTTTTATATTGTAACTAAAATAGTTGTATATCTTAAGAGTCTTTTACAGCAACCTAGACTTTCTTGAATGAAAAAAATCTTTTATAACACTGGATTAGTCAGCTTTATAAAGTGCATATCAATATACAAACAACCAAATCTTTGTATCCCTCCGTTCCAATCACATAAAGTATGGGTATTTTCATTGTTCAAGGCCATACTTGACCTGTAGACATAAGAATAATTACATAATGTAGTTGTTTGAATTCTTGTCCTTGTGTCTTATCTCCTTATATTCATATAAAGTAATTTAGTGCACTTGTTGAAAAACACATTGAAATTGATCACATTCCACAATTTTATCAATATGAAAAACACTCAAAATGGAAGCAAAGTAAATCACATCAAGTAATAGAGCTTTGTATGAATTATAAAATAAAAATATTTTTAATTTCATAATTTATTTTAAGTTTCACTTTGTTTTCAAAACATTTTCTTCTTCTGCCAAATGCATTAAATTAGAAACTAATCCCCTTATTAACCTTCAATTGTTTACGTTATTTCCACTGTGTTACAATGCATGTATGTAACATAATTATTACTATTTAAAATACATTTGATAATTATTGATCCTACAAAATTTACTATAAAGTTTTTAAGAAAGGACTTAATATCTTTAAGAACAATGTTTAATGTCATTTTAATAGAAAAACAAATCAATAACCTTCTATTACGTACTGTTAAGAAAACAATACTTTAAAAAAAACTTTTATGCATAAAATTAATTACAATCAAATGTACATTTAGTAATTGAACTGGTGGTTCATTTTGAGTACATAAATTGAATATGGTAAATTTCATTGGTTGAGTTTACATTGTTGATGTTGTTGTTAGCCAATCACAATGTTTTTATGTATTCTTTTGACAATATTATCCATAGGTAAAGTCAACCCATTACGGTAAAAAATCTTTCAAATTTGCTGCTGCAACTTTATGGAACAGCCTTCCAAACCATTTCAGGACTGAAAATAGTTTTTCACATTTTAAAAGTCTTGTTCAGTCCTGGAACGGTTTGGAATGTCGCTTGCAGATAACTCTTGAGCTGTTTATTATTTATGTTGCTTAGGACTAGTATTGATGTATTTCTTCACAAATTTTTATATATTTAAATTTTAATTTCTGACACATATTTCCAGAAATTGGGTAATCAATTAATTTTGAAAATATTCTGTTCTTTGAAATTTCTAGATCTCAAAGCATATATTATAGTTCTAAACTTTTTTATTAGATTTTTATACAACCTCGTAAATTTGGTATCATGTCATTGTCGTCGTTTGAAGACACATTGGTTTCCGGACAATAAATTTTGTTTATTAAGTGTATGGATTTCTATGAAATTTTACCATAAGGTTTATGACCACAAAAGAGGGCAATTTTTTCAGATTTTAGAAATTAAACAAAATTTCTTCACATATTTTTTTTTTTTGCCAAAAAGGGGGGGGGGGGGGGTCAATATGCAACAGCATAGTGTATTGCACAAAAGCAAAAAAACAATGGGTTAATTTTTGTCGAGCCTTCGACTTTTGTCGAAAAAGCGAGACATAGCGATCCTACATTCCGTCGGCGTCGTCGTCGTCGTCGGCGGCGGCGTCCACAAATATTCACTCTGTGGTTAAAGTTTTTGAAATTTTGATAACTTTCTTAAACTAACCTGGATTTCTACCAAACTTGGACAGAAGCTTGTTTATGATCATAAGATAATATTCAAAAGTAAATTTTGTAAAAAAAAAATTCCATTTTTTCCGTATTTTACTTATAAATGGACTTAGTTTTTCTGCCAAGAAACATTACATTCACTCTGTGGTTAAAGTTTTTGAAATTTTAATAACTTTCTTAAACTATCCTGGATTTCTACCAAATTTGGAAAGAAGCTTGTTTATGATCATAAGATAGTATCCAGAAGTAAATTTTGTAAAAAAAAAAATCCATTTTTTCCCATATTTTACTTATAATTGGACTTAGTTTTTCTGCCAGTTAACATTACATTCACTCTGTGGTTAAAGTTTTTAGAATTTTAACAACTTTCTTAAACTATCCTGGATTTGTACCAAACTTGGACAGAAGCTTGTTTATGATTAAAAGCTAGTATCTAGAAGAAAATTTTGTTAAAATTTTGTTCGATTTTTTCCGTACTTTTCTTATAAATGGACTTTGTTTTTCTTCCAGTTAACATTACCTACAGTCTGCAGTTTAAGTTTTTAAAACATTTATTAGATTCATAAACTATCCTGGATTTTTACCAAACTTGGACAGAAGCTACTTACAATCAAAAGATAGTATAGAGAGGAATATTTTTATTAATTTTTTTCCTCATTTTTGTTGAGCCTGCGATTAACAGCAAAAGTAGGCGAGACACTGGGTTCCGCGGAACCCTTACGAATTTTTATTTATTTTTTTTTGGGGGGGGTCAATTCGCACAGGCAGTGTATTGCAGAAAAGCAAAAAATTGAATATAAATTCAAATCATATAACCAATTCTAAGTTCTTTGTCTACAGTTATTCTGTGTCAGAAACCTATTATGTGTCAAATATTTAATTACAATCCAAATTTAGACCTGTATCAAGTGCGAATATTGTGTCCATTTTTGCCCCAACTGTTCAGGGTTGGACCTCTGTGGTCGTATCCAGCTGCGCCTGGTGAAGCAATTTATTATTGCATGCTATGTGTGTGAGATTCAACTTTGTATTACAGGTTGTTTTATATCTTAGACTGTTTTTATGTTATGTATATGTTTTTATACTCTGTCAAAAGCTCCTTAGAGCTTGTGTTGTATATTTAACTTATGCCGAATCAAAATAAATTTTTCTTATCTTATTATAGAATAGAATTTTATTCTGAAAGGGTGAATTCAAAATTGAAATTAAAAAATGCAAACCTCTTTATAGTCTATTTTCCTGACAAATAAATGTGAATATTATTTTAGGAAGATCATGAATCATACAAGAAGACATTGGAAGAACTTGGACTGCTGCAGAAAAAATGTCTGAATGGGGTGGCACATCAAAGATATAGACTTAAAAAGATACATGAATCTCTTAAAAGGTAAAATTGTTTTAATGGCATGTCAGTGGGTATGTGAATGAATAACCTTTAATGGCATGTCAGTGGGTATGTGAATGAATAACAGGATGTAGCCAAATGACAGAACAATCACACAGTAAACACATACATTTGCACATTTTGTAAGTCTCTGTATATATACTTATCATCATACATTTCATCATGGGCAAAAAATTAAAGGGAAATGAATGTGTTTAGGGTTTCCAGACCAACCTTAATTTCGAACCCAAACATTTTTATGGGTTTAATCTTTTTAATAGCAAATCAGTCTTTGTAACCTGTAACTTATTTCATTTTTAGAAAGGAAACTCTGAACACACTTATTTGTTGTGCATTATCTGTACATGTTACATTTCTTCCTTACAATTCTCTTATAATTTATATAACATGTATAAGACTCGTCTCCATTGAGTTCTCAGTAACGGTTAATTATAAAAATAAGGAGATGTGGTATGATTGCTAATTAGACAACTATCCACCAAAGTTCAATTGAAGTGGATGAAAGCAATTATAGACAACCATACGGCCTTCAACAATGAGAAAAACTCATACCATATAGTCGGCTGTAAAAGGTCCCGACATAAAAATTGTGAAACAATTCAATACAGAAAACTAATGGCCTAATTTATAACAAAACATGTTACGAAAAACAAATATGACAGACATGAACCAACAACAACCACTGAACTACAGATATGTTTTTAATATGATCTGGTGTATCCTCTTTCCAGTATACCATGGCAATATGAGTTTCCTTGGCCCAAGTTGGGTTCTCAGTATTTCAGTGTTCATGTATTCTTGTGAGGGTAGATTTTATTTTATCAAAGACCTGCCAACTTTCCTGATTTATGGGGGATTTCCCTCATGAAACTTGGAGAGCTGTTGACTTGACTCTTGAAATTGTCCATATTTGTCGAGCCTGTGACTTCTGTCGCAGAAAGCTCGACATAGGGATAGTGATCTGGCGACGGCAGCGGCGTTGTTAACTAACTACTTAAAAGCTTAAATATTTTAGGAGGAAGACCTGGATGCTTCATACTTTGTTTATATATGCCTTATGTTATAAAGTTTCCATCTGTCATATGTCCATTGTCCTTGAACTTATTTTCATGGTTCAGTGACTACGGTACTTGAAAAAAAGACTTTTTGTAATGTTAATTTCTCTCTTATTATGAGTAATAGGCCTAGGATAACTATATTTGGTAAGTTCGTACCTTGCAAGGTCCTCATGCTTGACAGACAGATTTCATCTGACCTCGACCTCATTTCATGGTTATAATAATAATAATAATAATAATAATAATAAATTCTTTATTTAAAAAGGGTAAACTCAGTTAGATACAATAAACTAATCTTCCCTGAGGCCCTCACATACAAATTACAATACAATCAAAAACAGATATTTATAGTTGAGTGAACAAGGTTAAGTTTTCGTGGTCAAGTCCATATATCAGATACTATAAGCAATAGGTCAACTATATTTGGTGTATGGAATGATTGTAAGGTGTACATGTCCAACTGGCAGGTGTCATCTGATCTTGACCTCATTTTCATGGTTCAGTGGTTAAAGTTAAGTTTTTGTGTTTTGGTCTTTTTTTTCTAATACTACATGCAATAGGTCAACTATATTAATGTATGGAAATATTTTACGATGTACATGTCAGTCTGGCAGGTTTTTTTTTACCTTGACCTCATTTTCACAGTTCATTGGTCAATGTTAAATTTTCATGGTTAAGTTTGTTTCTTAGATACTAAAAGTAATATAGGTCAACTATATTTAATGCATAGATTGATTGTAAGGTGTACATGTCTGTCTCAGGGTTCACACTACTTCAGAATCATAGGGAGAAGTGACTTCTCTTTTTGAAACAGATAGGGAGAAGTGGTGAGATTTGAAAGAGAAGTACAGGCGGTGTTGTCACGATATCCCAATAGCATGAGTTTGAATACTGGCATGGGAAGAAAAAAAATTTGCTTCAGAAAATTTGCAGATTTAACATTGTTGTGCTGATATTTAGAGTAATTATGAATAATATGTGTTTTCAGCCGTGTATCACCTTCACTGGTGATCCAATGGATGGATCTGTCATAGAGTTGTCACTTGTTTAGACGTACTTATATGTATATATATATGTAGAGAAATTTATATGTAAAATTCTGGGTACTGTAACATTGTACATACCAGAGTTTTGAATATAGTACTAATACTTTGTTACCTTTATTGATCTAGGGCTGATAAGTCAGACGATCCACAAGTTAGAGCAACAGGGAAAGAACTTAACCAGAAGGTACTAGGTCGCAAAAACTCTCTCAGAGATATGGAAGATGTGCTACCTCACAAAAATGGGTACGGTACTATACATGTATATATGACTATCTACTTTACATACTATAAGTAATAGAATTACGAACAAACAAAATGAAAACAACAGGATTTGTACAAGTTCCCTGACTTTCATGTTTATTTTATTGCATTTAATGATTGAATAATATTTTCAAATTAAGATTTTTGTGTGATTTATCTTCTAAAATCCTGCATCCATGAAGTCTAACCAAATGTCCTACAGTCCTATTTAAAATGATTCATTAAAATATTTCCCTTTATCTATATCATTATGCTAAGTTCAGAAAATCCTGTATCACAGCTTTGTGAAGTTGACAAGATTTCAACCTGCAATATCAGCAAAGTCATTATCTTTTGACCCTTTTTTTCAGTATTTAGATGTTTGAAAAATATAAGCCAGTTTACACAGTATGAATCATTTTGGCTGTTTGCAAGCAATCATTGAAACCCATACTTTGACTCACTGCCTATTTTATAATATTTATCATTTATGAAGATAACTTGATCATTTGACTTATATTGGATTTCATCTGTCTCATTTAATGTGTGATAAGGTTTGGAACTATATTTTTCAGAATTTACTTGAGTATTATTCTTGGACAAGTGAGTGTGTCACTACTCAACAAAGCAGACAAGTAAGTATACTAGTATTATGCACAGTATACTGTGGATTCATTTATTTTCGTGGGTATCAATTTTTGTGGATTGAGGAACACTTGCATTTTCATGGATATTTGATTTCATGGTTTTGCCAATCTCTGCATACAAAGCCAAATTAACATTTGTAATTTGTTGAACATTTGAATTCGTGGTTCCCCTGTACCCACGAAACCCACGAAAATTGGTATCCAACGAATAATAATGAATCCACAGTATCTCATGGCTGTAATTGAAGGTGGACTGTAACCAAGGAACATATCATTATTGTAATTAAATAAGAAACAATTAGATATTTATGATGTGTACTTAGTTTTCATTAGATAAAATTTCAACTAAAACTTAACAAATATCTTTATTTATACACACATATGCATAGTGCATCAACAGAAACTGCTTGAAAAAGAATTTTTTTTTTATCGTTATGTGAATTTCTCACTTATTATGATAATAGGATAACTATATACAGTATATGGATTTCTTGCAACGTCTACATGTCCATCAGTAAGGTTTAACCGACCTCAACCTCATTTCATTGATCAGTGATCAAGGTTAAAGTTACATGATTAGGTCTGTTTCTCAGATACTATAAGCAGTAAGTCAACTTTATGTAGTGTATTATCTATAGAATTATGGTAAGCTTGCAAGTTTCATCTGACCTTGACCTTCTTTCATGGTCAGTGTTAAGATTTTGTGTTTTGGCCTGTTTTTCAAGTACTACATTTGTATAACCAATAGGTCAACTATATTTGGTTAATGGAATGATTGTTAGGTGTACAGGTCTGTCTGGCAGGTATTATCTGACCTTGACCTCAATTTTATGGTTCATTGTTCAATGATAAGTTTTTTGTTTTGGTCTGTTTTTCAATTACCATAAGCTACATGTATATTTGGTGTATGGAATAATTGTAAGTTGTACATGTCTGTCTGACAGGATTTATCTGACCTTGACCTTATTGTCATGGATCTTTAAAAATGTTAAGTTTATGAGATACTTGTAGTAAAACCTTTATCTTTAAGACTTTCAGCATAAAACCAATGGTCAGCAAAGCAGGCGAGACATTTCAGCGTGTGCACTCTGTCTGTAGTTATCTTTACTAAATAATACCAAATAAAAAAATTTCCAAGTTCTTTTTATCTGATTTCGATGATACAAAGTATTTATATTTTTCAGGTATATCTACAAGCATGAATATGAGAAGTTCAAAGTGACTGTCAGTTATATTACACTGGCTCTTTCTATTTTACTTTTCTTCAACCCTGGATACAGGTATTTATATGGGTATACTTAGGTAAAGGGATATGACTTTTTACCAAATTAATAACTTTACATTTGCAGGGATTATGTCAAGGGATATTAGAAAGTTTCACAGAAACTATTTAGTTGAAATTTAATTTTGGACAATGTTTCCCCAAACTATGGAGGGAAAACTGCTTAAAAATCAGCTTTTTATATTTATGTCATTCATAACATTGCAAAACCTTGGGGGGATGTAAGAAACACAGTTTGTCAGTCTGTCCATGTGCCTTGAAAGTGCAACTCCTTCTGAACAGTTAGACAGATATTAATGAAACTTTACACAACTGTAGAACACAACCAGATGATATGCACACACGAATATAATCCTGATCTAAACTTGTTAAAGGGGAGATAATTGTATATACAGTCTTCAATAATCTTACAGTACTGAATTGCAGTGAGGGGTATCCTTTTCTGATTTTATAGCTATAAATACGTTACCATCATAAATTCTGAGTGTAACCCCAATTGCGTCATAGGTCAGATGGAAAATCCCGACTAAAAATAAACGTACTCTCACTGGTCCGGACATATACCCCTGTTTGCCCATATTCTCCCATTCAATTTCCATCTGCGACATCGGTCACACGTGCAAATATATACAGATTCAACAGAGAAGTGTTTAGTTGTTTGTAAAGTTTTTGAATAGCTTAATTGCTTTTCATATTGTGTATATTATTGGAAATTTATTCCCTTGTTTAGCTTGAATTTCTAAACAAATTATTTGTGTTTTTTTGACTAAAGTAAATTTTATTATGGACTTTAATTTGAATAGTCCGTATGTAAATATTCCTGGTTCGGACTATCTCTTAGATGGGTCACTACCTTTAAGTCCCCCCCAAACTACCAGTACAATGACCGGAGTTTCGACAACGGTGTCTGGTAATGCTACCTATCCGACCCTTTCACAAGGTTCGGCCATGCATTTTGGGGGGGTACCTACATCAACTTCGGTGACTCATACTTTATCTAGGCCTGTTAATTCATCGGGTACTATTAGTTCTGTCCCAGGTACAGCTATGGGCTTGAACTTGCCAGGTTCTAGACCCCCATTATCCTATTGTGGGTATATGCTTCCCAACACGGGCACACAACCTTTACCCTCATGGTCTCAGCCACCTTGGCCACAGTCTTACCCTTATGGTGGGTTTATGCCAAACCAACCTGGTTTTTGGCCTTATAGGGACAATTTCTATGGTCCCCCTTCTGGGGTAGCTACTGCACCACCTTTAGCTCCTGCTCCACCCGTAGCAGTATCTTTGACTCCTGCAGTAGCTCCTTCTACCACCGTACCTGACTCTCGAGCTCAATCTTCTAGCTCTTCTCATGGTACTCAGGGTTCTGATCATGCATCATCTTTGGATGGTTTTCAGAAGTTGCTTTTGGACTTTGGTGAGTCTTTCAAGGCTGAATTTAGTACTCTATCCAGTCGTATGTCTCTACTGGAGAATAGAGTTTCTTCTCATCAACCTTCTCCAGCTAAGTCTGTAGAATGTGATGAGAGGGAGGATGACGAGCTTTCTGTTTCCCCTGGGAGTCATGAAAGGGCTTTCCTCACTGATGAGGATGTTGAAAGTTCTTCTTCTCCCAAGGTATCGAAGACGGCCCCTGAGCCTTCTTCTAAGTCAGCTCAACAACCTCCCACCAAGGAGACTGAGGATCCTCCATCCTTGAAGGATCTTAGGGATAAGGTGTATACCTTGATGAGGGATGAAGCACATATCCCTTTTGCCTCTCCTTCCAAGCCGAAGAAACCTTCTTCAACTTTTGAAGCTTCCTGTGGTATTTCTCAGGATACTGTGACTTCTCACAATTCTTTTCCTGAATCTGGCCATATGGCATTTGCTTTACAATTTATTAATGAAGGTATCGCTAATTCTGCTAGTGAAAAGGTTGCTAATAACAATATCTCTGGATTTGGAATGTCATCCTTTTCTGATCAGGTTAAGTACAAGGATTTTGATATCTTCGATTCTTCACTGGGTAGACTTGTTCCCAGTTGTGACAAATCTATGTCATCTTTATTGGGAAAAAAGCCAGTAGATGGTCTTCGTCTCACTCAACCTGTTTGGTCAAAGACTGAGAATCTCCTTCGTAGTGCTTCTCAAGTTCTTGGCACAGCCGAACATTTTCTAGGTGCAACCGGACATTTGCTTAACAGCGAAGATTCGGTTGTTCCAGCAGAAGTACGATCCTTCTTACTTCAACTGGATAAAGCTCTAGGTTCATCTCAGTTGCTTTTAATGGGTTCTATTGCTAATTTCACCCTATCTAAAAGAGCAGAGTTTCTTGAAAACATTTCTGTTGCTGAGCCTTTGAAAGATTCTTTACTGAAATCTCCACTTACTGACAAGATGTTTGGTTTACCCTTACAGCGGGTTCAAGAGGAACTCAGCAAAAACCCTCCTCCAGTTAAAGTTAGTGTACAAGTTACTAATGGCAAGAGGTCGGTTAATGCTACATCTAGTTCTACTAGTACTTCTGCTTCAGGTGGTCCTCCTTCTTCTGCTAAGAAAAGGAAGAATAACTACGGCAAACCGCAGAACAAACCCAATAACTCCGGAAAAAGCTCAGGTAAGCCTTCTGGTGGTTTTAAGGGTCCCAAGAAACCTGGGTCTAGTACCTAGGTTCTTGCCCCCTCGTACGTTATTGACAGCTTCCCCAGGGGAAAATTTACAACAAGTTCCTCAAAAATCAATACCAGTAGGGGGGAGGTTAAGTTTTTTCCTAAATCAGTGGAAGAAAATTACCTCAGACTGTTATGTGCTGTCAATAATTCGAGGGGGATTAACACTTCAGTTCAAGAACCCACCTCCTCTGTCTGCAGTTCCGATAAGTTTGTCTCATACTCAAGACCCAGTCAAGTATCAACTTCTATCAGTAGAAGTGGACACAATGTTACAAAAATCTGCAATAGAGGAGGTGTCGCTCTTAACTCTGTCTCCGGGATTTTATTCCCGTCTTTTTCTGGTTCCAAAGAAGACTGGAGGAATGAGGCCGGTCATAGACCTATCTATTCTGAACAACTTTCTTATTGTTCCCCATTTCAAAATGGAAACCAACAGATCAATCAGGGCTTCAATCCTTCCAGGAATGTGGACTACTTCTCTGGATCTTTCAGATGCTTATTTCCACATTCCCATTTCCCATACTTACAGGAAATACCTTCGCTTCGTTTGGAACAACAAAGTTTTCCAGTTCAAGGCTCTCCCTTTTGGCCTGTCTACAGCCCCTTTGGCTTTTACCAAAATCATGCAGGCAGCTATAGCTCACCTACATTCCCTGTCTATTCAGATTCATTCCTACCTGGACGATTCCCTTCTCAAGGAATTTTGCCCAATCAAATTGAGGGTTCAGACAGATTTGGTCATCAATTGTTTTCTGTCCCTAGGCTTCCTAATCTCTTGGAAAAAGTCAGAGATAATTCCTTCTCAAGACTTTGTTTTCCTGGGAGAACATTTCCTAACCAGTGTAGGCCTAGTCCTCCCACCAGAGGAAAAATTTACAAAACTATGTCAGAAAATACATTTATTCCTGACGGTTCAATCAGTCACAGCACGTCAATTCTTGCAACTTCTGGGTCTATTGAACTCACTGGCAGATGTAATTCCATTGGGACGACTTCACATTCGTCCGCTTCAGTTTTATCTGCACAAGTTATGGATTCCAGCTTCACAAGAATGGGAAGCATTGATTCCAATCACTCAGCCTTTATTTCCACACCTTCAATGGTGGTTAGTACGGGAAAATGTAATGAGGGGCCTATGTCTGTCCCCTCAAGTTCCCAGTCTAACATTATTCACAGATGCCTCCACCCTCGGTTGGGGAGCATATCTGGAGGGGCTTACAATCTCGGGAGTCTGGAATCCAGATCTTTTAGAAGAGCATATCAATGTATTGGAAATGAAAGCAGTTCTGTTTGCACTGAATCATTTCCAAATGTCTCTAAAGAACCAGTCTGTCATTCTGGCCACGGACAACACAACAGTTGTAGCTTATCTCAAGAATCAGGGAGGAACTCATTCACCTTCTCTATCAGATAGCCAGAGACATTCTCCTTCTGTGTTTTCAACTCCAGGTTCATCTAGTGGTGAGACATATTGCGGGGCACCTCAATATTCTAGCCGACACTCTATCCAGATCCCTTGCTCCAGTAAACACGGAGTGGGAACTACTTCAAGTAGTTTTCAAAGCTGTGACTCTTCATTGGGGGTCACCTCAGATAGATCTGTTTGCGACCAGTCTCAATCACAAACTTCTAACATTTGTGTCTCCGGTTCCAGATCCAAAATCTTTTGCGGTAGACGCAATGAGCCTATCTTGGAAAGGAATGTTCGGGTACGCCTTCCCTCCTTTCAGGTTTCTCTCCCCAGTACTTCAGAAAATAGCAGGGGAAAATTGCAAGATCATAGTTATTGCTCCAGCATGGCCGAAACAGTCTTGGTTTCCAGACCTTCTGCGCCTATCATGTGCTTGTCCTCTAGTTCTACCTCTGAGACCAGACCTTCTGTCTCAAATCAAGGGCAAGGTTCTTTATCAAAATCCAGAAAAACTTCATCTACACGCCTGGCTTCTCTCAGGGTTAGCCTCAGAAAGAGAGGTTTTTCTGAAGGAGCAACCAAGCATCTCACAAAGTCTGTCAGAGACTCCACTAGCATTGTCTATGATGCAAAATGGTCAATCTTCTCAGATTGGTGTAGTGAGCGGGAAATTGATCCTTTCCAAGTCACTGTACAACAATTAGCAGACTTTCTAGTTTTTCTTTTTGAATCCAAAGGATTATGTCCCTCTACTATTAAGGGATATAGATCAGCTATTTCAAGAACTATTCATATTTCTGGTGGCCCAGATTTTGGAAACAATGAGCATATTTCTCTTTTGGTTCGTAGTTTTAGTCTTGAAAGACCAAGACAAAAAACTTTAGTTCCTAAGTGGGACCTTGGACTAGTTTTATCCTTTTTAAAACTTCCTCCTTTTGAACCAGCAGAAACAATAGATTTAAGGTTTCTTTCCTATAAATGCTGTTTTCTTTTAGCTTTGGCTTCTGGACGGAGAAGGAGTGAAATCCATGCCTTCTCTATTTCTGATGCTTGCCTTCGATTTAACAGGGATAAATCTTCTGTTACTCTTTTAACGGATCCTGCTTTTTTGGCAAAGAATCAGATTCCAGATAAGGGTGCAGAATCAGTCGTGATTCCTGCACTCCCTAGCGATTCTATTTCTGTACTTTTATGTCCAGTAAGAATCCTTTCTATTTATCTGGATAGAACGAGTAGTTTACGTTCTGTTTCTAACTCAAGACTCTTTATTCCTATTAAAAAAGGAATCTCAGATCTTTCTGTTAAAACTATTTCTACTTGGATATGCAAATGCATATCTTTAGCTTATGGTTCTTCTAAGTCAGAACTTTTAAATAGTTTTAATGTTAAAGCTCATGATGTTAGGGGTATCTCTACATCCTGGGCTCTGTTTAACAGTGCATCTTTAGAAGAGGTACTGTCTGCAGGTTTCTGGAGAAATGAGAACTCTTTTATATCTCATTACCTCCAATCTATGGCTACTTTTGCCGAGAGTTTATACTCTCTTGGACCTATAGTTTCAGCACAAAGATTGAACTTTCCTCCTGTTTCTTCTGTTACAGGGGATTCAGCTTTACGTTAGATTCTGTTACTCAGAATTTATGATGGTAACGTATTTATAGCTATAAAATATTCAAATTTTAAAGTAAATTTGGATTTTATTAGATAAATACTTACCATCATAAATTATAGGTCCCACCCACCTCCCCTTCATCCCCTTTCCCTACGTTTCTGTCTTGAGGAAATTGAATGGGAGAATATGGGCAAACAGGGGTATATGTCCGGACCAGTGAGAGTACGTTTATTTTTAGTCGGGATTTTCCATCTGACCTATGACGCAATTGGGGTTACACTCAGAATTTATGATGGTAAGTATTTATCTAATAAAATCCAAATTTACTTTAAAATTTGAATATTTCATTCATGTATTAAATGGGAGATAGATGGAAAGGAATGAAACCGAATAATGTCATGAGAAATATAATTAAAATAGAATTCTTTTAAATCTATATTATTACATAAAAAGTCAAAAAAATTGTAATTACATGTATCAAGTGTTTGATTCCACAATTTATACTCTTATGTTTCAGGTGGATGGACGCAGTATTGCATTTCCTTTTGGTGTGGTATTATTGTACATTGACTATTCGAGAAAACATACTGAGAATAAATGGTTCCAGGTAAAGTTCATATATTAAGAAATATTTTATCTTAGATATGAGGATTTTATTTTTTTGAATTAAGCCTTTGGTTATTTTCAGTGAACTACTTCAATAAAAAACTAGATTAAACCATGCATGATTTGAAATAGGCTATTTAAAATTGATTTTCTGATTCTTAGATACAACCCCATTAGTAAAAGTCCAAAATTCAATATAACTGCATACATACTTGTAATAAAATTGGTTGATTTTCACATATCTTTAGATTAACAGTTGATCTGTTCCCTCACTAGTTTGCAATTGGTGAGCAAACTTCAAAATTCCTTAAACTTCAATAGCATCAGTCATCAAGACTAAATCATAAGAGGTGGACATATCTTTAAAGTAATCAGTGTGAGTGAAATACCCTTCAACAGATTTGATATTGATTTGATTTTTGGTGTTTTAACGCCACTTTAAAACACCGCTTTTGGGCTATTTCATGGTTGCCACTTTTTATTGGTGGAGGAAGCCAGAGTGCCCAGAGAAAACCACCAACCTTTGATAGGAAAACTGACAATCCTAGTCAATTAAGATTGGAGTCAAGTGCACCCGCACGAGCGGGGTTCGAACTCACAACCTCAGTGTTAACTGGCTAGTGACTACAGTAGTAACTACTTAGACCACTCTGCCACCGAGGCCCCCTTTCAACAGATATTTCAAAATCTAATTTTCTGAGAGAAGGACAGACTTTGATAGCTGTATTAGTATGCATGAACACAAGCAAGACAACAGTCAAAAACTTATAACCCAATAAAATTATTGTTTCAAAAATTCCAATAGGGAACATATATTACATTATTGTAGCAATAAACCATTTTAAAGACGTTTCGGCCACTGGCCTTCTTCAGTATCTTTATTTTCCTTCTTACCTACATGGTAGACTTTTTACTTTCACAATCAATAAGATATTATAGATTTAGTTCCTTGGTAATGTTAATTAGTTCCTTGGTAATGTTATTTAGTTCCTTGGTAATGTTATGACGTCATAATAATTTTACGTTACAATAACATGACGTCATAATAATTTTACGTTACAATAACATGACGTCATATAATATCTTTTTATGAATGAAAGTCAAAGTATATGAAATTAGATAAATTAAAGTCAATCTTTTGTTGATCCTAAATGGCCTAATTGTATTTAGTTTTTGCATCCACTGTGCTTCAATATATCTTCCATAATTGGCAGATTTTTCGTAAATTTGTTTAAGATAAAATTAGTTAATGCAAAGAATGCAAAGAATAAGTATCTTAGTATCTGAGAATCAGAAGATTTATTTTACCAGGACTTTTATTGTAGTCAACCCCGCCACATTCTGTATGTATGTGCCTGTATGTATGTGCCTGTCCCAAGTCAGGAGCCTGTAATTCAGTGGTTGTCGTTTGTTTATTATGTGTTACATATTTGTTTTTCGTTATTTTTTTTGTACATAAATTAGGCCGTTAGTTTTCTCGTTTGAATTGTTTTACATTGTCATTTCTGGGCCTTTTAAAGCTGACTGTGCGGTATTGGCTTTGCTCATTGTTGAAGGCCGTACGGCGACCTATAGTTGTTAATTTCTGTGTCATTTGGTCTCTTGTGGAGAGTTGTCTCATTGGCAATCATACCACATCTTCTTTTTTATATATATTTGGTGTATGGATATATTTTATGATGTACATGTCAGTCTGGCCGGTTTTATTTGACCTTGACCTCATTTTCACGGTTCATAGCTCAGTGTTAAGTTTTTGTGTTTTGGTCTGTTTTTCTATTACTATAAGCAATAGGTCAACTATATTTGTTGTATGGAAGGATTGCAAGCTGTACATGTCTGCCTGGCAAGGTTCATCTGACCTTGACCTCATTTTCATGGTTCATTAGTCAATGTTTAGTTTTCTTGGTTAAGTCTGTATCTTAGAAACTATAAGCAATAGGTCAACTATATTTAGTGTATTGAATGATTGTAAGGTGTACATGTATTTCTTGTTTGGTTTATATGCCCTTGACCTCATTTTCTTGGATCATGTTAAATTTATGTGATAGTTGTAGTAAAGCTTTATATTTAGAACTATCAACATAATATTAATGATTATTAAAGAAGGCGAGACATTTCAGCGTGTGCACTCTTGTTTAAAATAGAATCGGCAACAACAGATTATTAAATATAAATATTTTGAGGCTGTTACCAGAGACAACAATTCCAAACATTAAGTCGATAAGATAAGCTAATTATTATTGTGTATATTGTGCATGAAACATTCCTTATTTTTGTTATCAAATATAAAACTTTGTTGTTGTTTGTTACAGAATAAAAGGTTGGTGGATAACACATCACTTTATATCAACAGTGTGTGCTGGTATAACTTTAATCTGGTAGGTTTTATGTGTAAAGATGTCAAAGATGGTCTGTGTGAGCTATTTACATTACTTGGCTTCTTTTGTTATTGTCTTTCATTATTTTACGCTTTTTCAAATACTGGGAATTCATTTTAATTTGTAGACATCAATTTTCATGGAAAGAAGAATCTTATGTTATGTCCCAGTTGCCATTAATTGTTCCAAATTAACCTCATGGGATACTTTGATTGTACAATTAGAACAAAATTGAGTAACATTTATTTGTAAAAATAAACATATTTGATTGATTAGAATGGAAAGATTCAGAGGGTAACAATTCATATTGTTCTTTATTTGAATATCTCCTTTGGTTCAGTCAGATCTTTTTTTCTTTCCATGAGTTTCCAATGTATTTATTAAAACTTGTATATCCTTTTTTTTAGGCCTGATGGAGCTTCTTACCAGTCCTTCAGATTCCAGTATCTTTCCTTTAGTTTTTACCTAAGTAGGTATATTTTTAAATAATATTTTATACATTTCAGGCAAGATGGATATTCCTACCAATCATATAGATTTCAAAATCTTAGTTTTAGTTTGTATCTAAGTATGTATGTTTAAAATCATTCATCTATAACAAAACCTTGTTTACTGTATAAGCACTCTTATCTGTTATAGCCAACAGCAACATATAACAATTTTCTTTCTATTTCTACCAATTTTATTCCTCCCTACCATTTTTTTTTTATTTCCACTCATTTTATTCCTTCCTAACCATTGCTAGTTTACCTCACCTTATTGCTACCGCCTGACTTTTATAATAATGCACATGTTTATTTATTGATATGACAGATGTGGCATTTCCTATATGTCCACTGCTTCTTCTTCAGAAGATAGATGAGCTGTATAATCTATATCTAATACACAGATATCTTATGGTCTGACATTCATGTCTGTTGTCCTTGACCTCATTTTGATTGTTCAATTAGTTTTAATATACAGAATGGTTTTTTTATCACTCGATTTTTTTCTCTCGTTATTATGAGTAAAATGTCACTATATTGTATATATATTTTCATTTCATCTTATCAGATACGGTTTTTCTGCAATTGACCTCATTTTTTTGGTTTATTGTTTTTCGAAATAAGGTCTGTTCCTCAAATGAAATAAGTTATAGGTCAACTGTGTTTGATGTAAAAAAATTAGAATGATTATAGGATATACATATTCATCTGACCTTGACCTCATTTGAATAGTTCAATTTCCAACATTAAGTTTTCCTGATAAAGTCCATTTATTTGATACAGTAACAGTTCAACTATATTGAGAGTGTGTTATGATTGCAAGGTGCACATGTCCTTCTGACATGGTTTGTTTGACCTTGACATCATTTCAGTTGTTCTGTGGTCACTGAAAACTACCTACAAAGCATGTCCTTTTCTACAATGCAACATTAAGTTTCATGATTAGGTCCATTTCTCAGATACCTTTAGTAATAGGTCAACTATGTGTGGTGTATTGAATGATTGTAAGGATAATATATGTCTGTCTCACAGAGTTCGTCTGACCTTAACCTCATTTCCATGGTTCATTGATCAACAATTAATTTTAGTTATAAGATTTCTTACTCAGATACTTAAAGTAATAGGTCAATTTTATTAGGTGAATAGAATGATTGTAAGGTGTACATGTCCATAGACAGGGATCATCTGACCTTTACCACATTTTCATGGATCATTAATAATGTAATGTTTCTGTTATACCTGTTGTAAGTATGATCTTAAAGACTTCAATATAATATTCAATCATAATCATTATGCAGGCTAGACAATTTAACAATTGCACTCTTGTTTAAAATCGACAGCTACCTAAAAATGTAAACAAAACAGGACTTTTTTAGTGCTAGATGTAGATTAATACTCATTATGAAAAATTGTTAGTAATGGTTGTACAAGGTGTCCGTAAAAAATATGCTAGCTGACCAAGGTAATAATGATAATAAAAGAATGTAGAGATTAACTTGAAAACAGGTTTTACAGTAGGTACTTAATGTTTTAGAAATATATATGGAATATTGGTGAAAAAAATTCATAACATAATTATTTTCAATGTAAAAAAATATTCCAGCCTTTTTTGAAAACAAAAATAGTCACTACAATTTTTCTAAATGTTCACAGTGATTTTTATAACACAGGCTTCAATGTACTGAATAGAGATTTTATCAATCTTTTGTTGTTTCATGAATAAAGGTAATTTATCTCCTAGTTAAATGATTCAATTAAAACCTTGACATGAGGAACTAATTTTTAGGAAGGAATATGTAAAAAAGCATTATGATTGTATGTAATTTTTCTTGCCTGGAATACTTTCCTTCTCTTTCAATTCTTTTAAAACTTTATTTGAAGTTAGATAGTATCAATCCTTAAAATATATTCAATTGCAAGACACATCAATACAATATTAAGTTTGATACAAATTATATAGGATTTCTGTACTTTGAGTTAATAATCATTTTACTCTAATGACTTGCTGATCAGCTACGAATTTGAATGCATTGTATGAGATTAAATAAACTTGTTGATATTATTTTAGGTCTACTGTAGGGATCAAGGTTTTCTAGAATTTTATGCAATTCTTGTTATCTTAGAAGCCCATTTCTTAAATAATACTCTTGAAATTATATAGGTTATAATCAACCCATAAATTGATTCAATTGCAATGGGGGAAAAAAACCCATATCAAATTTGATAATAGTTTCAAATTAAATGGATTACTGCCCTTAGAGCTGCTTGTTGATCACCTTATTTTTATGTACCATCTCTTCTAGGTTTATTATATGTGTTCCAGTTTTTCTACCAGAAAGGATCCCTATACAGACTTAGAGCGTTAGGACAGGGTCATGACATGGATGTTACTGTTGGTGGGTATTTAGAATTATTCACAAATTTAGTCTGATTTCTTTCCACTCTGATAATGGCCATTCCAGTAAAGTTAAGGTAGGAGGTTAGGAAGGGAGGTTTTTTACAGGGATGGTGGGTCATCTATGGTTGTATGTCCATTTCATGTATGCCAAATTATTTGAAGTATCTATTGGTTTTGGGGGATTTTGGAAGTCCTTTTAAACCATCCTACATTATTTAGATGGAATAGCCCTGAGAAATTATTACATTAATTCAATTGTTTAGTATTTAAGTCTCCCAAACAAAGTGTTTTTGCTCTGTTTCCTTTTTATACGATCGCAAAAATTGAAAATTTTTTGGTCGTATATTGGTATGACGTTGGCGTCGTCGTCGTCTGGCGTCGTCGTCGTCTGGCGTCATCCGGCGTCGTCCGAAGACACATTGGTTTTCGCACTCTAACTTTAGTTTAAGTGAATGGATCTCCATGAAATTTTACCATAAGGTTCAATACCATGAAAGGAAGGTTGGGATTGATTTTGGGGGTTATGGTACCAACAGTTAAGGAATTAGGGGCCAAAAAGGGGCCAAAAATAAGCATTTTTGTAACTTCCAGACAATAACTTGTGTGTAAGTGTATGGATCTCTCTGACATTGTACCACAAGGTTCCATATCACAAAGGGAAGGCTGTAATTGATTTTGGGGGTAATTGCCTCAAAATTTTAGGAATTAGGGGCCATAAAAGGGGCAAAAAACAAGCATTTTTCTAGTTTCATGACAATAACTTGTGTGTAAGTGTTTGGATATTTCTGAAATTGTACTACAAGGTTCCATATCACAAAGGGAAAGCTGGAATTGAGTTTGTGGGTAATTGCCCGAAACGTTTAGGAATAGGGGGCCAAAAAGGGGCCAAAAATAAGCATTTTTCTAGTTTCCAGACAATAACTTGTGTTCAAGTGTATGGATCTCTCTGAAATTGTACTGCAAGGTACCATACCACAAAGGGAAGGCTGGGATTGAGTTTGGGGGTGATGAATCATAAGGGGGTTCAAAAAATTTGGGGGGGGGGGGGGGGGGTTTTCTTTTTTTTTCTTTTTTTCCTTTTTTTTTTTCTTTTAAAATTTTCCATTTTAAGTTGGTTATTTCTGATTAATATTTAAAAGCAAATAATAATGATATGGTAGGAGATACACACCAAACAGGATGTGTAAATTATTATATAATAAGTATTGTGCAATAGCAAGAAATTTTCAATTGCACAGTATTGCACAATTGCAAGAAATCTTCAATTGCACAGTATTGCGCAATAGCAAGAAATCTTCAATTGCACAGTATTGCGCAATAGCAAGAAATATCCAATAGCACAATATTGCGCAATAGCAAGAAATTGTCAATTGTACAGTATTGCACAATAGCAAGAAATATTCAATTGCACAGTATTGTGCAAAAGAAGATACTTCGTATAAATTGTTTATTTCTTGATCAATTTCAATGGGGTTTTATTCTTGAATTCTTGGGGTTCTTTAATATGCTGAATCTAACAGTGTATTAAGTTTTTGGATTTTGGGCCCGGTTTTTAAATTGGTCCACATTGAGGTCCAAAGGGTCCAAAATTTAACTTTGTTTGATTTCATCAAAAATTGAATTATTGGGGTTCTTTGATATGCCGAATCTAACTGTGTATTTAGATTCTTTATTTTTGGTTCCATTTTCAAATTGGTCTACATTAAGGTCAAAAGGGTCCAAAATTAAACTTAGTTTGATTTTAACAAAAATTGAATTTTTAGGGTTCTTTGATATGCTGAATCTTAACATGTATTTAGATTTTTGATTATGGGCCCAGTTTTCAAGTTGGTCCAAATCGGGGTCCAAAATTAAACTTTGTTTAATTTCAACAAAAATTGAATATATGGGGTTCTTTGATTTGCTGAATCTAACCATGTATTTAGATTTTTTATTTGTGGACCCGCTATCAAATTGGTTCATATTGAGGTCAAAAGGGTCCAAAATTAAACTTTGTTTGATTTCATCAAAAATTGAATTATTGGGGTTCTTTGATATGCCAAATCTAACCATGTATTTAGATTTTTAATTTTGGGTCCCGTTTTTAAATTGGTCTACATTAAGGTCCAAAGGGTCCAAAATTAAACTTAGTTTGATTTTAACAAAAATTGAATTCTTGGGGTTCTTTGATATGCTGAATCTAAACATGTGTTTAGATTTTTGATTATGGGCCCAGTTTTCAAGTTGGTCCAAGTTGGGGTCCAAAATTAAACTTTATTTGATTTCAACAAAAATTGAATATATGGGGTTCTTTGATATGCTGAATCTAAACATGTATTTAGATTTTAGATTTTTGGCCCAGTTTTCAAGTTGGTCCAAATTGGGGTCCAAAATTAGACTTTGTTTGATTTCAACAAAAATTGAATATATGGGGTTCTTTGATATGCTGAATCTTACCATGTATTTAGATTTTTTATTTGTGGGCTATCAAATTGGTTCATATTTGAGGTCAAAAGGGTCCAAAATTAAACTTTGTTTGATTTCATCAAAAATTTAATTATTGGGGTTCTTTGATATGCCAAATCTAACCGTGTATTTAGATTTTTAATTTTGGGTCCCGTTTTTTAAATTGGTCTACATTAAGGTCAAAAGGGTCCAAAATTAAACTTAGTTTGATTTTAACAAAAATTGAATTTTTGGGGTTCTTTGATATGCTGAATCTAAACATGTGTTTAGATTTTTGATTATGGGCCCAGTTTTCAAGTTGGTCCAAGTTGGGGTCCAAAATTAAACTTTATTTGATTTCAACAAAAATTGAATATATGGGGTTCTTTGATATGCTGAATCTAAACATGTATTTAGATTTTAGATTTTTGGCCCAGTTTTCAAGTTGGTCCAAATTGGGGTCCAAAATTAGACTTTGTTTGATTTCAACAAAAATTGAATATATGGGGTTCTTTGATATGCTGAATCTTACCATGTATTTAGATTTTTTATTTGTGGGCTATCAAATTGGTTCATATTTGATTTCAACAAAAATTGAATATATGGGGTTCTTTGATATGCTGAATCTTACCATGTATTTAGATTTTTTATTTGTGGGCCCGCTATCAAATTGGTTCATATTGAGGTCAAAAGGGTCCAAAATTAAACTTTGTTTGATTTCATCAAAAATTTAATTATTGGGGTTCTTTGATATGCCAAATCTAACCGTGTATTTAGATTTTTAATTTTGGGTCCCGTTTTTTAAAATGGTCTACATTAAGGTCAAAAGGGTCCAAAATTAAACTTAGTTTGATTTTAACAAAAATTGAATTTTTGGGGTTCTTTGATATGCTGAATCTAAACATGTGTTTAGATTTTTGATTATGGGACCAGTTTTTAAGTTGGTCCAAGTTGGGGTCCAAAATTAAACTTTGTTTGATTTCAACAAAAATTGAATATATGGGGTTCTTTGATATGCTGAATCTAAACATGTATTTAGATTTTAGATTTTTGGCCCAGTTTTCAAGTTGGTCCAAATTGGGGTCCAAAATTAAACTTTGTTTGATTTCAACAAAAATTGAATATATGGGGTTCTTTGATATGCTGAATCTTACCATGTATTTAGATTTTTTATTTTGTGGGCCTGCTATCAAATTGGTTCATATTGGGGTCAAAAGGGTCCAACATTAAACTTTGTTTGATTTCATCAAAAATTGAATTATTGGGGTTCTTTGATATGCCAAATCTAACAGTGTTTTTAGATTTTTAATTTTGGGTCCCGTTTTTTAAATTGGTCTACATTAAGGTCCAAAGGGTCCAAAATTAAACTTAGTTTGATTTTAACAAAAATTGAATTCTTGGGGTACTTTGATATGCTGAATCTAAACATGTGTTTAGATTTATGATTATGGGACCAGTTTTCAAGTTTGTTCAAGTTGGGGTCCAAAATTAAACTTTGTTTGATTTCAACAAAAATTGAATATATGGGGTTCTTTGATATGCTGAATCTAACCATGTATTTTGATTTTGGACATTGGACCATAATAGGTAAATTAAAAAAATTGAAGTTCTTAGACCACATTCTTTCTGTGTCAGAAACCTATGCTGTGTCAAATATTTAATCACAATCCAAATTCAGAGCTGTATCAAGCTTGAATGTTGTGTCCATACTTGCCCCAACTGTTCAGGGTTCGACCTCTGCGGTCGTATCAAGCTGCGCCCAGCGAAGCATTTTATTCTTTTTAAAAGCAGAGTTGTGATGAACTCAGCTTATACTATAATGAATGTTGTCTGGATGTCAACATTTCAGTTTCCTGACAAAATCCATAATGAGTATCTTTACCAAACTTTCATATGGGGTGAGAAAGACCCCTATAGATTTTTTGGGTCAATAGATCAAAGTTCAAGGACACAGTAGTTATTGATAGACTGAAACTATCACCAGACTTGACAATTTTCCATTACACTTGCAATTAATGGACTGAAATTTGGTTAAATTTTAGTTTTTCGTCATTAAAAATAGATTGTAAGCAGACTGCATTCTTCATTTCATTTCCCGACCATATCACATTATATCAAAATACAGTCGACTCTTGTTATCTCAAAGTCAGACAGACCGGAAAAATATTTCGACTCAAACACCAGAAGTTTGATAAACTAAGGGACACAACTCCTGCTTAGCCTGGTAAGACTAAAACAAATCCAGATGAAAATGGTTAGGGATTGTTATGTTGGTATAAAACTCATAAGATCGAAGATTCTGTATTTAACAGCCTTTTATTATTAGAATAAAATTATATTTTTTTGTCTATTAGTTAATTCTTTGTACAGTAACAAATTTTCCTGTGTTTATTAGTGAAATAATTCCAATCTATCTTAGCTTCATTTTGAAGTCGTTCTTTCTTGTATACGAGAGATTTGAGAAAATTAAGATTTATTTTCATTTGCTTTTATTTCAATCTTTTTCGGCATGAGTTAACTTTTTCCAGTCAACCAAGTTCAAGAGAACAAGAGTTAACTGTAGCATTAAGTAATGACAACACCATATTGAGTAAAATCAAAAACATCATTAAGTAATGACAACACCATATTGAGTAAAATCAAAAATATCATTATGTAATGTCAAATTATATTATCTTATGACAAAACATCATAAAGTGGCCTAGTGGTCTAAGTAGTTCTACTACTGTAATCACTAGCCAGTCAACACTAAGTTCGAACCCCGCTCGTGCGGGTGCACTCGACTCCAATCTTTATTGACTAGGATTGTCAGTTTTCCTATAGAAGGTCGGTGGTTTTCTCTGGGCACTCAGGCTTCCTCCACCAATAACAACTGGCCTCCACGAAATAGCCCAAAAGTGGCGCTTAAAAGTGGCGTTAAAACAAATCAATCATAAAGTGACTTTTTCAATTTTCATTTTGAAAGTTAACCAGCTATGACACATGATCATCAGAAGCAATCAAAGCAATGTTCATGCATTATTTTCTAATGTAGTGGTTAAAACTGATTTAAATATCTGATTTAGCTTTTTATCTGTTTTTTAGAGGGATTTATGTCCTGGATGTTCAAGGGATTAGTTTTTCTGTTGCCATTCCTGTTTGGAGGTTATGTAAGTATAAAACATCTACTTTTTATACACATGTCCTTTTATACCTGAATGTGTGACCTTGCTTGAATTAGGAAGAAATATAAGAATCTACTTTTAATGCCCACTGTCCTGTAAGATGTGTAAAGAAGAAGTGTCTTCATTGCATTAAACAGGCTAAATATTTCATCACAATTATTTTATAAATACTGTATTTGTTTCATTTAGCCTGTGAACATTTTTTTAAGATTGCGACATGGAAATTGTGAAGAAGGTAGATAACTTCGTCAAAAGTTCTCTTAACACCTGTCATGTAAATATAAAAAGTAAAATCACAAAAATACTGAACTACAAGGAAAATTCAAAAAGGAAAGTCCCCAATCAAATGTCAAAATCAAAAGCACAAACACATCAAACGAATGGACAACAAACTGTCATATTCCTGACTTGGTACAGGCATTTTCTTATGTAGAAAAATATGTGATGAAGTACATGTCACAAGGTATATCCAAGGGCACTGAAGGTAGAATCTAACACAAACAAACAAACAAACAAACATTAATTTGAATCTTAACCATTGGACTAACAAAACATACATAAAAGAACCTACAACAAAAAATCAGTACAGGAAAAGCACTAAACTCTAAAATAATGGTATAATAGATGACTTAAATACATGTCCTAACAAAACAATGACATACAGTATTATACCCTATCATTATATCTATTATAACCTTGCAGTAATTGAAAGCATGTCTCTTACCTTTGACTTAACTCCAGTTATCAGTAAAACCTCATTGGGAATTTTAACTGAATGGCTCCAGAGAACCATCAAGTTTTGAGAAATTTGGTACCATAAATGCTGAATATGTTTTTTCATAAATTTCATCATACATACATGCTATAAGCTATATTTTTCTTTTCAGTTTTTCCAGATGTACAATGCCTACACATTATTCAAGTTGTCACTTCTTCCACAAACTAATGAGTGGCAGGTGTGTATTGTGTTACAAAATGCTTATCATGCCTGTAATTTTTCATCATTTGTACACTTTTATGTAAAATATTAAAGAAATTTTAATGTTATTTAATTAATCAGCCAACTTGACCACTTAAATGGAGGGATCTTTGGTGGGTCCATGTTTTTTTAAAAGGGGGGTAGGGGCTAACAGAAAAAAAAATCATTCAAGGGAGGGGGCTTACAAAAAAAAATATGTATTGAAGAGGGAGCATGTAAGTAAAAAATTTGAAAAATGTAAAAAAAAAACAAACAATTTTCAGTGAGAAGGGGGATTAACAATAGAAAGTGATAACAAATATTTTGAGACACTTGTATTGTTCAGGTCAGGTTTGAAGTAACAATATAATTTATGTTTCTGTTTCTTTTAAGGTGACAGCCCTAGCTATAATCCACTTTATTCTTTCTGTTGGGAACATTACAACTACTCTGAAGGTAGTACAAGGCAAGATCCACGGAGAAATGAGAAGTCGTAGTCTAACAAGCAAATACAAATTCAATAATGGCTCTGTAAAATAGTCATATGACAGAATCCTGACCAATCAGATATTTAGAATATTTATTTTAAAATTCTTGCACAGCTGTCACAATTTGTTTCGATTTAGACAAAGACTTTTGAACAATAATTCTTGGATTTATTGAGTGAACACATGTACAGTTGTATTTTTGACACACATGAGTCTACATTTATTTATTAGATTTCTAAGTATAAAATTGGCAAAATAAGAGAAATATAAATGTTGAGCATTTATCATGCTGAAAAAGAAATAGCATGTGCAATTTAATTTCTGATTTCATAATTGTATTTTGTGATTTGTTACAAATAAGGTGGCAGTACTTTGAAAAAGAGTAGTTTCATGCACAATCTGTTAGTTGTAAGTCGTTAAATTTCTTTATCTAAGAATATATTAGATATTATTTGTCATATCTCAGGTGAAGTGATTGGGCATTATAGTTTCTAGTTTTGGTTTAAACACTTTCTTAAAAATTACTAATTTGCTCTCAAGTAGAGCTTTTAAAAACAGTCTATTTTTTGCAGCAATTGTTTTTATATTTGTAAAAATACTTTGAAAACTGTTTTAGAAAATCAGCTTACATGAGAAGATACTTTAATATATATAAGTTGACTTAAAACATATACATATGCTTCATTTTTATTTATGTCATTGGTCTTGTGGTTTCATGTTTCTTGGAGTGCTGTAGGTAGTGGGTTGATCTGCCCGAGTCAAGCCAAAGAAAATTGGAATGTTTTTTCCTCTAAGCCTTTGGCATTAAGGAGTAACAGCAAAGACTGATCAGTTAAAATAATATGTCTTGGTAAGATGACAGGTCTTCCTGTGAACTCACCTTGTGAATTCTTGCTCAGTATGAAAGGCAAGTACAAAGCAGGGTTCATATTCATATCACATGGTCTCATCCTGAATATGCATTTAATTTGCTACTGAACACTAAGCAGCAATCCATCCATCCATCCATCTATCAAATGATTAAGATTTTTTGAGTCATCAGGTTCTGATTGAGGATCTGTTTACTAGTGTCTGAGAGATCAGGTTCTCACTGAGGATCTATTTATTGTTGTCTTGACAGATCAGGTTCTGACTGAGGATCTAGTTATTGTTGTCTTGAGAGGTCAGGTTCTGATTGAGGAGTGGTGCTTTCTTATTTGTTTGAGATCATTGAGTATTTGATGTTTTGTAGGGTGCTAATTTAAATATGTCACAAAATATGTATGCAACAGATAATTCAAGATACAAATGTTTTGCATTTTTTCCTTTGAATGAATATGAAATTAATGAGACAGTAAAATAGAACAAAAAGATGTGGAGTAGTCAACACACATTCTAAATGGAACAGGATCTGTATCACAAACCAAGCTCTAAAGTTGTGAATTAATTAAGTAGGTCACACCAAAGATTTGACTTTTCAACTCCAATTTCAATGATGAAGACTTGTACTATTTTCTTTTACATTTCTGATAACTTCAATTTGAAACATTGCCTCTATATAATGGTGCAACAAAATATGTTTTCAGGTAAAGTAAACAAATATCTATAGAGGGAACTCAATGAATATAAAACGGTTTTCTATTATGTTATAGGTAATTGATTATTTAAAAACATGATTCCAAACTTCACTCTTAATAGCAAGTTTCTGACAAATTTGATTCTTGTCATTGTTACCATTAAAACTAGAAGAATATAGATATTTGTAATTTGTTTGTTTGTTTTTGTTTGTTTTTATGTTTCAATGCAAATTGTTTTGTACAATAAAGTCTAATTTTTGGCAAAAGGCTCTTTTCAAATGCCTCTTGTCCTATCTTTTAAATTATACTATGGGTGTTTAACCAAATTTGGTATTCTGATAGAACCTATAATTAAGCCAGCCACTAAATAATGTTTTTTTTTTGTTTTTATATGCATTTTAGTACTGTTAAACCTATAGATGTCTGTGCAAATATTTGTAAGTTTCATGTGACCAATTTGTTTGTTGATATCAGAGTTATATTCATGTTGCCATTCTTACCAGAAAGAAGCTTGTTGCAAACAATAAAATATCTATATCTTTTTAGTTTTTTACTACAGATATACGTTATTTGTGGACACTTTTCATTGTAATGAATCTTGGTTGGGATAGGAACTCTTTTTGGTACTGACCTTTGCATACCATATGAACTCAGTTAATTAACGTTGCATTAAATGTTAGCTCCTTTTGATATGGGAAACAAAACATTGTTAATTTGTACTTTATTTTCACCAAATTATGCATCTTCCAGCCACATTGAATAACATCTTTTAGTTATTGATGTTGCATTTTTCAAATTGTATGAACTTATATTGGTTTTGAATTTTATAAATTATATAAGTTGTCCTTTTGTTAAGAAGCATTCATTTACTACAGTTGTTATAAAATTGCATACCACATAGATTGATTGTTGGTTGCTTAATGTCCAGTGGCAAATATTTCATGCATGTTCAGGACAATACCATATGGCCCTTTAGGGTAGTGATTGGTCCTGTACCAATTCATTAAATGTAAAATGTTCAGTAAAATTAAAAATTTATTGCACACAATATATGTTAGAAATATAACTCAATACACATAAATCCGAGATGACTAGAAGAACAATTTCCACATATTATGATAACAAATGCACTGTTCAAGGCTCGGAGTTGATTTTTAAGTAAACAAAAATCGGTATCTTATGGTTACACATGAAATGTAAGCTTCTTGCAAGAGAGTTGAACACAAGACTCAAGCATGTCCATTCTTGAAATCTTCCATTATTTTTAATGAACTCTTTCTACTTAAAAGATCTACATACAGCACATTAAAGATGGTGGTTATACTAAATTGGTTGTCAAATTGAAAAATTACTAAAATAACATATCTATCATTAATAATCTCAGATTTCAAAGTTCATTTTATAGGTCACAAATAAGTTTGTTGAATGTCAGATATAAAAATGTATATTGCACATCTATCTTAACAATCTCGGGACTTCATAGTCAGTTTAAACTTTCACACATATTACCAATAACCTGTGACATCTTTGCATAGATTGGCATTGTCATGTGAACGTCCTGATTTAAGATCACACAAAAGAGAACTTTTACAGTCTGTACCACATATGGCTTTGGTTGCTAACTTTTGAGTGTACCTGAAATAATAGCAAGAATATAGAAATTTTAATCAGAAAATTGTTTAGTTTAGTATGTAATATACTTCTCATGAAGAATTAAGTCAGATGAATTGTCAGTTGCGCAAAACACTTGACAGCTTAATATGAGAAATAATTTTGTACTGATGTGTTCCGTTACCATGGATGGTTAAGAATTTAAACTGGCATTTAACATTTTTTTTAAAAAGATATGCAACAGATTTACAGGAAATTTTATTTAAATGAAGACATTTATACTAATTTATCTTGTAGAAATAAATTGTTTACGAACACAGAAATGTTTTTGATGCATCTTAATAGTCCCAAAATTCTGCTTGCCCCCAGTAAAACAGTGCTAAGTAATAATAATCAAATATTTGATTCATAAATATCCTGTTATTTATATAAGGCAAACGGAAAAATTATTGTTTGCTGCCAACCTTCTAACCCATACACATTTTATGGATTTTTTTATCGAGCAAAGTCAAACAAGATAATTTTTGGTAAAGCATCATTAACGTGCAAAGCATTTCCCAATGCAGTTTTTTGTTAAATTAAAAAAAAACACAATCTTTTACCTGCCTACCCATTTCTGCATGGAGGCAGGAAATACCTTACCTATATGCCATGGAGTTGTTTTCGACTTATGAGTTTGAATTTCCCTTTGGTATCTTTCGCCTCTCTTCTATAAAATTGCAGAAACGGTGTGTCATTAGGATTGAACCTATGAATAAGATCATCTCAGTGTTCTGGATACAGATATTTTTTAACCTTACCTATAATACCTCTGAAACAGCGTGTCATTAGTTTTGAACCTATGAATCAGGTCATCCCAGTCTCCTGGATTTAGACTTTTTTAACCTTACTTATAATATCTCTGAAACAGCGTGTCATTAGTTTTGAACCTATGAATCAGGTCATCCCAGTCTCCTGGATTTAGACTTTTTTAACCTTACTTATAATATCTCTGAAACAGCGTGTCATTAGTTTTGAACCTATGAATCAGGTCATCCCAGTCTTCTGGATTTAGACTTTTTTAACCTTGCCTATAATATCTTTGAAACAGTGTGTCCTTTATTATTTTTGAACCTATGAATCAGATCATTCCAGTCTTCTTGATTCAGACTTTTTATGACCTTACCTATAAAATTGCTGAAACAGTACGTCATGAGTTTTGAATCTATGAATAAGGTCACCCCAGTCTTCTGGACACAGACTTTTGATAACCTTACTTGTAATATCTCTGAGAAGTGTGTCATTAGTTTTGAATCTATGAATAAAGTCATCCCAGTCTTCTGGAAACAAACTTGATGACCTTACCTATATAATCGCTGACACAGTGTGTCATTAGTTTTGAATCTATGAATAATGTCATCCCAGTCTCCTGGATACAGACTTTATAACATTACTTATAATATATCTGAGAAGTGTGTCATTAGTTTTGAATCCATGAATAAGGTCATCCCAGTCTTTCTGGATACACATTTGATGACTTTACCTATACTATAGAGCACTGGTACTTGGAATATGAGCCAATATCCCATGTGTACCCCGAATAACAATTATATTATACTGGAGTGTCCTGATTTCAACATTCATTACCATTCTGGTCTTCGTTTTCTGTTCACAGGGGATACGAGCTCATATTCCCTGTCAAAGTAACCAATCAAATTGCAGGATTAGCCAGGATATTTCATTTTCGTATAATTTACTTTATAACCTTACCTGTAATATCTCTATAACAGTGTGTCATTAGTTTTGAACCTATGAATCAGATCATCCTAGTCTTTTTGATATACTTTTTATTACCTTACCTATAATATCTCTGAAACAGTGTGTCATTTGTTTTGAACCTATGAATAAGATCATCCCAGTCTTCTGGATACAGACTTTTCAATCCAAGATCAGCCTGAAATAATGGTATGTCATTTGGTATTATAAAATAAAATCAGACTAGTATCGCTGGAGTCTTAATGAAATTGTACTGTGGTGATGGATAGTGATATTATTTTTAACTTAAACACTCAAAATATGCTTTGTTCTACTTGATGAAAATAAATGAAATTATCCTTTTAGTCTGAATTATGCAGAAAAAGTGTCGACGTTGAATCACATTTTCTCCATGACAACGTGTAGCATCTGAAAAAATGGGAATAAATATATTATCTAGTGTTGAGAAAGTTTTTGACGAACAATAGATACAAAGTGTTTAAGTTGAGGGGTCGGTCTTGTTTTACACATTGGCTAAAACTGCTTCTGAATTACTCGTTGAACTTAACATATATACGTTATTGGTACACATTCTGCTAAGTACAGATAAATTGTAATAACTGTTAACCACAGGCTATTCAAATCCATGACATCTACTTCCAAAGATGATGAAAATCGTAGATTTTAGCATGTAGAATTTGCTTATAAGGGCTTGGATGTCGTCAATATAGCAATATTTTTCACCGAAAATCTGTGTAGAAAACAATACCTTATTTCTTTAAGGATAAAACTACACATGTCATTTCATTTACATATACAAAACCTATTGCTTCCAAGATTTTCAACCTCAAGAGGGTATGAGAGACCTAAATTCTCAGGGATGTAAAATTCATACTTCCCATTTACTCTTTTGCATCGTCCCCTTACAAGTATAGTCCCAAATGGTCATGTTATAAATGGAAACCTTGGCATCGTAAACAATTAAGAACTAAGAGATTTGTAAGCCAAAGGCACAAAATATCGAATGCCTAAGACTATCAACTAAATGAAGAAGTTCATATTACTGAAAGATGCAGTTAAGGACTCTGCCAGAAAATATGTAAAGCGCGAGCAAGATGAACCAAATCTGAACACTTTATCTGAATGATTCAAGTTAAAGCTGTTCGGTCATATATTCAGAAGCGCATTCAAAATCTACGATGTACAATGATCATGGGTTTCTTACCCTTTCAAGAAGCCTGGGGTTGTGGATGCTTTATCCTCTCTTCAAGAATAACATGTCCCAACAGACAAAGCTTCAAATGGTATTTTTTTTTATATGCAAAAACCATTATTTTGAATGTCTCACTAAAGTGCTTGCAATTCACAGCAAAACTGTGAATACCACATATACCCCAACATTATTCACGAATGAGGAGATTTAAGAACATCTCAAATCTGTTCTTTTCTCCTTTGGTATTAACATGAAAAAAAATTATTCCGGATACCTAAACTTCACAAAACTTCTTATAGAGAACGATATATAGCCGAGTCGTGAAGATGTTCGACTAAACATATTTCTAAAAGTTCTTACCACCATTTTATCAACAGTTAAAGATGGACAGAAATTTTGTGTATATTCAACAAGCGGTGTCAATCAGATGTGGATTCTTAAAAATTCTTAAAAAGATCTACTCGTAAATTTGCAATCACAATCTTTACAATTATGAAGTAATTTCAAAGATTTCGTTTTTTCTTCTCTTTACACGACTATTCCCTGTGATCAATTGAAAGATCGTCTACATTGTCTCCTTCAAAGAGCTTTTTTTCTACGAAAAGGGGATTCATTGTTTTGGGTCAAATCTTCTTTTGTAAAGAACCACTCTAATTCTAAAAAGAAATACACAGAAGATAATATCATCAAAATGCTGGCCTTTTTGATAGACAAAATATTGTTGTGTTTGGTGAATAGATATTTCTGCAGACATTCGGTATTCCAACGGGTACTTATTGTGCACCACTTCTGTTCAACTTGTTTTGGTACACCTATGAAGCAGAACTCATACAGGACCTTCTCAACCACAAAAGGAAAAAAATGTACATTCCAATGAGTGCTTACATCCTAGTAAACGTAAGATTAAAGATACTATCGAAAGTTGAAGGTCTGTTTCATATATTGATATTTTCTTCGATATTGACACAGATGGTTAAATTCAAACTAGAATCTATGAGAAACGTGATGATTTCAACTTTCCAACTGTCAACTTCGCATTTCGCAGCAGTTATTACGTTACGCTTGTGCGTGTTCACACTACACGGACATCATTAATAGGGGTGTCCTCCTTACACATAAACTGCTCCAACAGTTATGAGGAAGAATAACTGAAATCGACACTACATAAGTTTTACCTTCACGAATTGGTTGACTGATACGGTGTGTCGGGTCTCAATTCATTAGCAACATGTTTTCATGGTCTTAAATTTTTAGATACAAATATAGTCGTCTGATCTGTCAAAATACTGTCATTGTCCTATTCCCGATTATGACATTTGGTTGAATGTGAATTCGCATGGCGGGTGATGCATGCATAGTAGTAGACGCTCACCCTGCCGACCCTCCCGGTCTCGCTCCTTTTGGAGTTCGTGTGATTCCCTCAGTTTTTGTTTGTTACCTTGATTTGTCTCTTCCTTATCGATTTAAAAGATTTGAACATCGGTAAACTACTAGCACATGTGAAGAGGAAAAATTAAGACAACTAGTATACATATTTGTTTAGGGGCCAGCTGAAGGACGCCTCCGGGTGCGGGAGTTTCTCGCTGCATTGAAGACCCATTGGTGGCCTTCGGCTGTTGTCTGCTCTATGGTCGGGTTGTTGTCTCTTTGACACATTCCCCATTTTCATTCTCAATTTTATTTGATGTCAAGATAACATTGACTATCTGGTAAAAAGTTTACAGGAAGTGCACAACAGTATATGCTGAGATCGTATGATTAGTATGTACGTCCCATGCTATTTGGCTGTGTGCAACTTACTTAAATTACTCCTTCATCTTTTGAGCTACCTAAATTCTCACCTTTGCATTGTACTCAGGTTCCCATACCGGCGTATTGTCTTTATTTACTTTTGTCAAGTTTAAATAATAGTTCTGGTAATTTAGAGGATACTGAAAAGAAACAAAATTTATGTAAAACAAAATTAACCAAACCTGTATGACTATTTGTATAAATTTCCGTAATTTAATAACTATGATGGATTTCTTGGATTTTTTTAATTAATATTTACTCAATGCTCCACACATTCTCTTTCCAAATTAATAACATCTATTCCATAATTAATCGAAAGTCAGAAATATTGCGAGCCGTAACACTTCTATAATTGTGATCCAAGAATCTGATAATTTAAAGCACATTCAATCTAATTCTTGTGTCCGGTGCAAAATTGTCGTATAAATACATTTTTTAACCTTTACACACATATTACTCGTTCCTAACTCAAGATGTATTGAAAAATTTAGTCAAACTTTTATTCCATGAAAAACATACACCAACGTAAATACAAAAATCCTGTATAAGTAAAGAACAAATCATTTAAATTTACCACATGTTCTAACAAAAAGAGTTACGCCATCAAGATGCTTGTGTTTTCAGACAATCTACATACTTATATGAATTTGTTTTTCTAACAAGCTTGGTTTTTATTATTTGTATGAGACATATCTCATACAGAGACTTCTCTTGAGGAATAGCAAGTAGCTATCATTACCCTTTAACTTTGGGTTCCACTGTTTAGAAGCTGAATTTAGTTTGGTGATCCAAGGCTTCAGATTTATGTCAGGATTTCCTTGATAAAGGGTTGATGCTTACTACTTGTAGGAAAGATGTTAAACTAACAAGGGTGCTTCATGCTAAAGAACCCTTCAAAATTTTGACATATGCCATCATCATTGGTCAATATTTAGTTGATCGTTAAGGAATATTTGTGTCACAGTTGGCCAGAAATATGCTAATCTACCGTTCATACCCGGTTTTTGTGTGGTTCATGTTGCCTAAGTATGTTATGGACTGCTAACGGTCTATCGTCTTTTTTCTAATGACAGTATATATTCATCGACTAAAATATGATATAAATTTTGTAATTAACACTGGAAATATTTATTTGTTTGTGTACGCTCATAATACCATGCATTTTCCATTGTAGTTCTACTATTTTATATACAATTGTTAATATATGCTGTATTCCTTGTACATGTAATATGGAGAGAGCTTTTATAGGCTGCGCCTGTTGCTCAATCCTTTTCGTATCTAAATGAATAAAATATGTTTAAAACCAAATCGACTTGTGATTTGTAATTGTCCCCTTAATATCTGCTAATTTTTTAAATAGAAGTGAATTTGAAATTTTACAACAATGTTTCATGAAAAACAAATGAAACAGAGTTTGATACCTTTTGAAAAAGTAAAGCTGAAATGTGAACATTATCAAGTGGGAAATGGATTACTTAGTAGAATATTGAAAAAATATACAGTTCATTTAAATACTCAAAAGGAAAATATATTTTACCCATGAACTTCCATTGTAATGTCCATCCACTTCATATATTCGGAATCCTGGGTTTAAATCGGAAAACGTTGTGACACTTCCCGGTGCATAGAGAACACTAGTTGGTCTCTTAAACAGGACATCATCGTAGAAAACAGTGTACATCTCAGAATGGACATGACCAAAAAATTGTGCGGTTACGGTACTCTCATATCTGGTAAAATAGACACAGTTTTGTTAAAAACAAACTGAGAACGGTGACTTTTAACTAAAGATATTCACCCGTTTTTGTTAAAAAAAAATCAGCTCCAAAGTTATATTAGTACATTCTACATACTCTAGGCTATTACAAGAAGTTTATATAAAACAATAGTTCAAATCTGATTTAGCATATCAATTATGGAGAAGCCAAAAACAAAGAGTCGTATAATTCTCTCTTTATTGAAAACCATGTAACAGCAACTGGCAAGAAATGGTTCTTCACTATGGGATACTAATAGTCTGCACCCAAATAAGAAAGATTGAGACCGATTTAAATAGAATAGAAGCGATATGGAAAAGAAATAGGAAGCTGAAAAATAAAAATAAATGCATAACTGTTTAATGTGCACAGAAAAAAAATCAAAACTTCACACGGAAATGTCAAAACTGAGTTACACGAATTCCGCTAAAATCCGGAAATGTGCTCCGGTACACGGTAAGTTATAGCTATCTATGTTATAATCCGATAGTAGATCAAATCCGTAAGATTCGGATTATATGTACGACATTTAGAGCAAAGTAGCCGACTCTTTAAAATATAAAATTTCAAATTCCTGGCAAGTTTAAAACATAAAATAATAAGTACCTGTTGATAACTTTATAGTAGTTCCAGCTCCAAGCCTTTAAACAGCTGCCACCGCCGGGGACAATATGACCAATGATGTGAACCTAACACAAAAGAGTCATGATCAAATAATGAACTACTGATAACTTTTGGATGACATTAAAAAGGGAAAATACGAATCGTATAATAAGTATACAGCTATAATGGTTATTGCCAATAACTTTATGGTTTTAGTCTCAAATAATATTGTAATGTCAGTGTCATGTTGTCGATCAATCTATTCTACGCATGTTCTAAATTATTTAGTCAGAGATAATAGTACTGTCAACTGACTGCTGATGTGAAGGATAAGGGTCACAGAGAAGAGAAGCGAAATATACCAAAGGGACATTCAAACTCATAAGTCGAAGATAAAATGACAACCCCATGGCTAAAAAAGAAAAAGACAAACAGACAACTGTTACAACAGTACATAAAACAAAACATAGAACTAAAGACTGAACAACACGAACCCCACCAAAAAGGTGCTCCGGAAGGGTAGGCAGATTCTGCTCCACATGTGGCACCAGTCGTGTTGTTCATGTTAGTAAAAACCCGATGATAAGTCTAATTCGGTAGGTCACAGTCGGGGAAAAGGGACGGAATTGTATTTACGACAATTGGAACATATCCGTTGTCATCTGTGAAACAGATATTCCATAACGGTCAACCAACTCGTGATGGCATCCGTAAAATTTACGAAAGGGGTGATTTCAACTTCACTACTTGGAACTCTTGGTTTGATTGCTTCCTTGTGAGCAGCAACCCTCTATCAAACAAATTATGATAGGAAATACAAGCCCTTGAATATCGTATCAACTGAGACATATATACTCCGTATGCAGGCGCTGCTGGAATATTGCTACATAGAAATGGAAAGTTCACAGTTGGGAAGCTGAAATCATCTCTTTTGTCGTTAAGTTTGATTTCAACCGACCCTTATTGTCAATTTCTAGATGTAAGTCAAGATATGGGACAGACTTAACTGTATCTGTTGTATCCTTTATCCCAAGTTCGATAGGATAGATGCGCGTTCTGTCAACGTATATTTGTTCCACCTAACAGAAGTTCCACTGGAAACTTTGTTATAAACAATGTCATAATATCTGTTCCTGTTGGAACAAATATTCTATACCATTTATTCCGTTAGGAACATTTACTGTAATATTTATTCCAGTGGAAATAATATTCCAGAATATTGTTTCCATTTGGAACTTATATTATGAAGGAACTTCTATTCCGTGACAGTTCAACATAGTCACCAAATTTCTAATTACTTAGTGAGACAAGACTATAGTATCATCATAGCCATTCGTTTTTATGAAACAAAACAAAGTCTTTCAATTTTACTTTTAGTTTGGAATGGAGAATACTTGTGTAAAGTATAGAAAAGTCAAATATTTTTATACTATTGCAAGATGAAAGAGTATTAGATTGTATGTACTCTTAAAGATCTTTGGAATATTTTGTATCCATATCTGATTCACCCCACCTCTAGAATATGTAGTTTCCCAATAACTTTGAAGCCCGGCTTTGATTGCTGATAAACTGTATGTTAATAATTTAAAAGCAGGTTTCATGGAGCACTTGGAAGACCCAGCAGTATAACGTAGTTTGTTAGGACAATTAACTAGTTTAGGTCATCATGTTCAATATCTGATTGTTTTCCCCTTTCAGTATACAGCAGACTTGCAAGTACCATTTATCAAAAGCATACATCTGAAATTTACCATTTTTTTCAATTCGTTCGATGTGTTTGAGCTTTTGATTTTTCCATTTGAAAAAGGGCTTTCCGTTTTTAATTTTCCTTGGAGTTCGGTATTTTTGTTATTTTACTTTTTACATGATTATTTATAAGGTCTGAATAACTGTACGTATCACTTTCGTCTGTAATTATAAGTTCACTTAGATTGAAGATTTTAATGAATTAATCAAATTGTACTATATATGATACATCCTATACTTTTTATTTTGCGTATATCTATATATAACATATATGTCATACCTTTTCCTTATTGTCCTCGGCCTTTTGCAGAACATTCATAAGCCAACTGAGTTGTCCCATTGGATCAGTTGTATTGATTAATAACCACCTACAGATACATGATTTTATGTTTTAAACGTTGATTGTCTATTAATTACGCCAACTAAATTTAAATGTTTATCCCACATGTACCAATGTTTGAAATATAAATAAAAGATGGGTATTATCATTTAGCAGACAATTTTTTTATTTTAACAATAACAGTGAAAAAATATTCGACAAATATCCTATTGGTGGTTTGATTATATCCGTCAAATAAGTAGAGGTCGTTAACTTTAGGAAACAAGTAATGTAAAAATAAGACAACACCACCACCACTAATTAATTAAGAAATGTGTTGTTTAGTCATACCCTTTGTAAGTTTTTAATATAATTTACTTTCACAAACAAGTGTATTCAACTGATGGTTACACATATATTTCCATGCGAAATAATTATCAAAAAAGTTTTTCCATTTAAATAAAAGACGATTCACAAATAATCTTGAACCTAGTATTCTGAAATCATCTTGAACCTAGTATTCTGAAATAATCTTGAACCTAGTATTCTGAAATAATCTTGAATATAATATTCTGAATGAAGTTGTATACTTACCAATTTTGATTATTGCAGAAGTTCATGTTGAGTGACACAAGTCTGAGTCCTTGTTGTATCATTGTGGTATAATATCCTGCTCTACAACAAAATAAGCTTTCCATGAAAAAAATTGTTATAAACAAAAGAAAGATTTGTAAATAGACTTGTCTTTTGATATGTGCATTTTTTTATCGACAACCGTCTTTATATACTCCCAATGAGAAAAGAATGCCATTGATTTTATTTTCATGAAAATAAAATGCTGCAAAAGAGAAACATTTTTTTCTGGGTAAAATTACAAAAATACCAAACCCCAAGGAAAATTGAAAACGGAAAGTCCCTTATCCAATGGCAAAATAAAAAGCTCAAACACATATATACATACGGTATATACTAAGTAATTGTCAGATATTTAAAACAACATTTCATAGAAGAAACTTGGATTTACTCAGACACTTGAAACTGGGTTTGCAGCGACTCATGTTTTAATCTATTAGCTTTATTTTGAGATAAACATGTATGTTAGTTTCAAGTTGATATATTATCAAAATAAATAAATATTATTAAAAACTTAATAATCTAATAATAATGTTTTATTACCTTTTTATATCTTTCATGGTGTCTGCAGGCAACCAGTTTTTCCAAAGTTTAGCTGTTTCGTTATACAGCCAAGTCTCAGCATCGTTTCCAGTTATGTAGCTCGGTGGAAAACTGAAATAAGAAAAACTTTCAAGTTGGAAAACTGATTTTAGTACATTCTACTGGAATATTAGTTCCAAGAAAAATTTCAAGATTCCGTGGTATAATCAGTACAACAAAGATACATTTTCTATTAACGTTGTCAGATTGAAGTATTCAAGTTTTTTCATATTTGCATATGATACATATTAAAATAAACGTAATAATCAAGAATGCGAAAAGCGGCAAAATCTTATGTGAACCGATAATCATCTCAATCAGGATTGCAAAGAAAGAGGCAAAGACAGGCATTTAAAGTTTGACAATGAATTTCCTCAAATTTCAAGACGTATACAGCGTGCAGGAAAAGAGATTTGGAGAAACAACGTGGTTTTTCTTACCTGTTGACAGGTGCACTTTCATGATTGCCCAGTGTGTTGTAAACCTGTTTACCGGGAAGATAAGTTAGGAACATTTTGGTAACAAGTTCCATAGCTCCCATAATGTCTGATCTTGATTGGTTCCAAACGTTGTGAGCTGGTAGGTCGCCGGTAAACACTACATAGTCAAACTACAATAAGATGGTACAACAATATGATAATGGAGAATGTTTCGGTCAACATAAAGGATTTTGAAGTATCAAGTAAGCTTTGTAAACGCAAAAAAAAACGCGCTATAAAACGCAATATATTGATCGTCAAAAGAATGTGTCAAAATGTTGTCAAACTACTACAACGACTCAGCTGTTCGTGAAAATAAATCTTCAATATAAATGCCACAAGTAAATGTTAAATAAGCCCTACTTCAATAAAAAAAAGGCGAGTAGGATACCGAGGGAAATAAAAACCGTTAGTCGAATAAAAACAGACAACGCAATGACCAACAGACAACAGTCCACAAATCAATACATAGAAAACTTAAGATTGATTAACACGAACCCTACAAAAATCGAGAGGAAATCATGTATAACAGAAGGGTAAACAGTTTCTAGCAAGTACAATTTCGGTGATTACTTGCATTCGGCGATGTCATAATCGAGGACAAGATGACACAAAAACAATATCTAAAATAAGATAAAACATCTTAAATTACAGACAATAATCGTAAGGAAAATCTGTCACGGAAACAGTAATGGTGTAGATATATCCAGAATTACAATTTATATAAGACTTTACAAAAAATGGACAAAATTATCTGAAAATGTCAAGTGAGGTCGATACATCCTTTAGGTTGTTGCTTTGAATGACAATACATAAACAGAAAACAAATAAATACAGATATGGGACACCTACAAGTCAGAGAAACAGCAAAATAACAAAACAATAACACGTTTATTTATCAACAGAAATATAATACAACACTTCTGTCAAATTGTGTTTCCTTGTTTTGGAGGCCTGCCATAAAAACTGAATACAATTTACTCTACAAAATATTTTTTTTTAAATAGCCTTTGTATTACCTGATCTTTGATACTCCTAAGATATTCAAATAAACTTTGTAATGTTACATAAGGAAGGTCACAGTTATTCAATGAACCCCATTTACCAGCAGCCATTGCACCAGTTGCTAAAAAATTAATAAAAGAGGTGAAATAAACATGTGAATTCAAAATAAAAAGAACGTAAAAAGTATATACATTGAGGGGGGAAGCATTAAAAACTTCAGAATCAATGGTTATACATTGCTCGGAAATACACCAAGGGGACAACAAACATAATAATAAGAAGATATCAAGGTGACAATAAAAATAAAACAAGTCGAAGTAAAAAACGACAACTTTTGACGAGATAAATTTTAAATTTACTATTAAGAACACTATTAAGAATGCTTGATTCAAAATCATCCTCTATTGAGGAAAATCTTACATGAAACACAAGCTTTTAAATATCGTGTCAGCTGGAGGATATATGCGCTATATGCAGGTGCTGCTTGAATAATGCTACATGGGAATGGAAAGTTCACAATATGAAAACAAACATGAAAAAGTTAGACTGAATCACTTTTGTCTGTGCATGCTCAATATGATGTAATAATGTTATTTTAAGAGAAACTAAACTTCATAATTTGTTTAAGTTAGCTTGCGTTTAATCATATTTGTAGCATCAATCAAATAGCAATAATTATAAACGAAACTAAGCTGTTCTTTTCTCCCTTCAACATGCATACTTACTCATCTTATCTCCTATTCTGCAGCACAGAGGTTCGCCACAATCAGCAGAAGCCCCTGCCAGATACTGGGTGTCTATATGGATATCTGTTAGATGTAGTATCCGAAGTATAGGAGATCCAGGCTAATTGTAAAAAACACATAATTTTATCATAAATTGATTTATGTTATGAGAATGTTTGGCCCTTGTTCTCAATGCTTTAAACAAAAATAAGTGATGTAAATATTTTTTCGACAGTCCTGGATAATTGGTGTTATATTATAAAAAAATACAACACAAATTCAAAATCAAAGAACAAAAAGAAAGTATCCATAGAGCCAATTTCGAATCAAACATTTAAGAAATACATTATTTTTACATATCCTTGTTTAGAAAGTATTTTGCTTTATGTATTAGTTCTTTTTTTGTAGTTTTTATTCATTATAATTCAGTGTAAACTTATTTCTTGTTATGTATGTATACAATCGTATAAAAATAGGGTCAATCGTAAAAAAAGTAACAATAAAGCAATGAATTATTTAAAACCTTGGAATAAAACAAATGCTGGAGACAGATGAAAGTAACGATTTATGAAAACTTCAGTACCTAAGGATATCTACAGTGTATGATACCCAACGCAACAACAACACAAAAAAAAGCCACAAAATACATCTTGATGTCAACATCATGCAGTTTTGTACAATAGATAAGTGTCCATATCATATGTAAAGTGCTTACTCGCCCCTAGCCTTAGGCAAATTGGGAAAAAATGTAACAGGAATTATAAAAGATCAACTATTAAAACAGCACTCCGCAAAGGACGAAACTAGCAAAACACAAACAAAATCAACCACTGGCAAGGTTCTTTATTTCGGGACACTATAACGGGTATATTTTCTACTGTCTCAGTAATAGTTATCCCATGAGGACGCGGTGTGTCAGTGTAAGATCACCCCGATGGCCGGAGCTCTTTTAGACTATATGAAAAAACATTTACGCTTCATAACATCTAGTTCAGAATGCCATACAATAATTATAATAATCTTTATATATTACTATATTGTATATACCCTTAATGAGCCCCGGATACAATGTTTGAAAATTATCAATCAGTTTGAGTCCAGTCGTCCTGGTGTAGGGGTTTGATTCGTGGCTTCATATGCTTAAGGTCTTGAGTTCGATTCCTCGCATAAACACTGGAAATTAAGTGGAATTTTTCTACATAAATTTTGAAAATAGTCTTTGTTCCGCTAAAATATTTCTAAGTTTTATTGTGTGTTCAATATTCCCGCCAAAATGTTACAGAACAAAAATAAAGAAAGCATGCAGAACAAAGAAACTTAAGGTAGGGTGATCTGGTAGGGGTGATCCGACTCAGATCACCCCTGTTAGAACAAAGGAGTTGGGATGCAACATACGTTAATATTTACAATGTTATAAAGTTTTGTGTGAATTATAAAAAAAAAGTTATTGGTGGTTAAACGTAATTCACATTGTCCCTCCGATGTACAAGTTATAAAAAAAATGAAATAAATAAGCAAACAAACACATATCTACAGGGATAGTATATGTTCTTATTTGATTGATGTTCACGTGCAAATGAAAACGATTAACCTTGTGGGATACATGTGGCTTCACTGGAGGTTTTGGGGCATCTGGGGTGTTATGTTCCACATAACGTCTGAGTCGATAACAATTTACTATCGGGGATACGTGTGGTTTCACTGGAGGTTTTGTGACATTTATAGAGTAATGTTCCACATAACGTCTGAATCGATAACAATTTACCTGTGGGAGTACATGTGGTTTCACTGGAGGTTTTGGGACATTTGGTAGAGTTATGTTCCACATCACTTCAGGGTCATAGGGGTTTCCACAAGTTTCTCCAACTACAAGACCACATGCTTCTTCTGGAGACAAAACCAATTTTTCTATTACACCGACGAACTCATCCTGTAAAAAGTAAAATTTTTTTATTAAGGTTTGTCCCTTTATTAGTCTTTTTATTAGGCTCTTTCTTTACTATTTGTTTTGGTTCGTGTGTGCTTTAGTGCTTTTCCACATCCAAAGGTGGATTAGTTAAGATAACTTGACTCGCAAAAACTACACAAGATATATAATATATGATACAATAACATTTGGCCTTTCTTCTATCTCCCTTACCTGTTATCGTTATCCTCTGTATTAGGTTTAGTGATATTATCACCTATAATGTAGAACGGACTCGGGTGCATAGCTAAATATGTTCTGAACATCATTTAAATGTACTGTTGATCATTGTGGGAGTTTTTAGTGCTGACCCTTTCGTTTTAAGTGTAGTTTGTTATATTGCAAATACATACATGTATATACAATTACCCTTGTTTTTCAATGTTTTCTTGGTTGTGTACTAGTATTGTCTACAGGACTTTCTATATTGTTCCAATTAGTGCTTTTAGAGATCTGTTGGATTTTGTTTTAGTTCCATTTGGGTTGCTGTCTTAATGACGTATATCCCACATCTCTTTATATTCACTTTTTAACACATTAAGATCAACCAGCTCTTTCACTTAAACTTTTTATTTATATTCATAGATGCATTTTATTTGTATATATATACTAAATAACATATAAAATTGTTATTTGACATACACAGCCTTACCTTAAACATTCGAACAATGCCCTGACAAACCCTTTCATCTTCTATATGAAATGTTTCACAAATTTCAATTGCAAATTTAACTATGTCAGCTTCTGGTGCTTGTCTTCCCACTAAGGCGCGTAGTCCAACCACAAATAATTTACAGACATCACACGGTATATTTTCTAGATTGCCACAAACTAATTTTATCCGAGGTCTCAGTCGTATATTTCCAGCTATAATAGTGCTTGAGTCATATGTCGAGTCAGTATCACCCAAATAGCGATGATATAGTATTGGTCCTAATGACAAGAAAAACGTAGAAGCTACTGCCGAAATAATAAAGAAGTATGTCCAGTCCATGTTTATAGATTATGTAACCAAACGTCTAAATTCAAAAGCAGGTTAACAGTCCATGTGATAAAATTTATCACTGGTGTGTATATAGGCTTTTATAACAACATCACATATGACCATTTAATCGGATGACAATGTCAAATCATTACATATTTAAATCATGCTAACCTCAGATTAAGATATATACTGCGTTTGAAAAATTAAAATTTCCTGGTCGCGTTTACCCCAATCAATCGGAAATGAATAGATTGTATTTATAATTTAGTACTATATATATATATATGTAAGGTCATAAGGAAACATTGAAAGGAAATAAACTTTCAACCTAAAAGAACATTTATTACCGTCACATGTATACATGTATTCATCATAAAGTGTATTTACTTTATAAAAGACTAAACTGTTTTCCTTAAATATTCCCTCCTACAAGATCGTAATAAATATGACTTTCAACCTGACAATGATTCAAATGTAAGCCACAACAAATTTTATAAGTGAAACGCTGTAATGACGGGCATTTCTATCTAAAGAAACTTGTATCTTTTTTTTAAATTGAAATTTCTTTATTTTTTTTTATTTAATAATCGAAAAATAATGTGATGAGTTCTCATCATCGAAATTTATTCAACCGTAACAATTCACTAGCTCTCGGAGAAAGGACCCCCCTATTTACATGTATATTTTTGTGTTGTGTGTTTTTTTAGTTAATATTTTTGAATGTTTTACATTATGTTTACTGATTTAATGCGTTTAGTTTAAACATATTTTATTTGCATAAACACAAATTGGATGAGACACAAGTCAAACAGACTTATGAAGTCTTCTCCATTTAACATATTTAACAATACAATATATAAGAGCATGCATACCGTATGATTACATATTATTTCAACATTTGTATAAATTGGACAGAAAAATTAAGTGGCACAAAAGCAGTAGAGAGAGAAAAAAATAAAATAATAGAACACAAAAAACAAGGAAAGAAATTAATAAAAAAACAAAAAACAAAAACAAAAACAAAAAACAAATAAGCAAAAACAAATAAAACGTGACCAAAAAAAAAACCAAGCTGAACTGAATTTAGATGATGATGTGTGTGTGGTCATGTTTTACTATCTAAACAATTAGGAATCTTTTCGACCCTCTAATAAACTCAAACACATGTTTAAAGATATTTTCATTTTGCTCCTAAGTAAGTAGACTACTACCCGAGGTTAATAGTTCTATATTTAATGGACAGTTATTTGGGAGCCAGCTAAGATTTTCTAAAAGCTTACTTCATATTTCTGAATATAATATACATTAAAAAAAGAAATGATGCGAATCTTCGCGATACACACCGCAGCGGCAAGGAGGATCAGAAATAATATTAACTCTAGACAGATCATAATTTAGGAAGGAAGCAGAACATCGAAGTTGAGTAAGCACAATGTTGAGTTTACGACTTCCAAACTCATATTGTTTCGGCATGTATATATTACTATTGGGATTTAAGTTTTTTAGTTTCGTTTTAAATTTTCCTATTGTTTCTGCTTCACGGGTTGAAGTATCAAGGTTATTCCATAGACGTATAATTTAATGCGTTCTTGCTCTTGTCCATAATATACTACAGTGGCAGTAGTGTATATGTGATGCTATTCTATTTTTATTTTTCACAGTGAAAATTAGGAATAGAGATGCATCATATATAAACAAATTTTATTGTAAAATCGTATGGATAAGAGCAAGAACGCATTAAATTGGTTAAAAATATTTACTTTAAAAAGATAAAACACACAAAAATTTTTTTTTTTATAGAAAATGGGTGTCCATTCTTCAAGCGCCCGTGTAACAATTGATTGAATAGTTTTCTTTGTAAATGTAATAATTGGTTAAGTCATTAATTATCTGGACAGATAAATCTCTTAGACTTCGTATTTGGTTTGAATTTCCGACTGTTTTATTTTGAGCGCCACCGGTGAGTCTAATGTAGACGAAACGCGCGTATGGCGCTCAGAATTATAAGCCTGGTATCTTCAAGGAGTTTTTACAACTACTTGGTTAATGCCACTGATGGTGGACGTTTCGTCCAGGATGATATCAGCAGCCCAGTAGTCAGAACTTTTTTATTTGTTGACATTAAATATCATATTGATATGTTTATTTTCTGTGTATACAATGTATAATTATTCGAAACAAAAGGTTTTTCTTACCTCCAGGTATAGATTACCATGGTCGTATTTGTCAAAATATTTCTGATTTTCGGTTTTCAAAGCTATACGATTTCGTATTTGATTTGGTCTTCCAACTGTTTTAGTTTGAGCGCCGCTGATGAGTATTGTGTAGACGAAACAGGCGTCTGCTGCCCAATATTATAAGCTTGGTATCTTTGATGGGTTTTACTAGGCCAGTTGGTTTTGTATTAAAATACTTATCTGCACCTCGTCAATTGCATTTTTGTTTTCCCTCCCTCCCTTATCCCTCAGAGAATGACTTATATCATAAGATCGAGATTCGTTCTGGTTGACTATTTTTTTGCTAAAGCTTATAGTCTTTGGAAATAAAATAAATCTTGGACCATGCTCTCGATCTGCACGTAAATTCGTATGATATGTTTTCCAAGTATTTGTTAGTTTAATTCATGCATTAAAGAAGAAAGTGTGTAAAACTGAGATGTCTAGGCAATTTTCGATTTTCTAGGGCCACAACTTCTCAAAAAAATCTCTCATCCGAAACGAAACTCACAATGGATTTGTAACATCTTACATGCAATATGACTATAAACTAAACAACAAAACAATAGATATCTAGAAGCATAACCAAATATCTAATTAATCGTTGAGTTATGCATTATGGGAAAAAGGTGTTGAAATTTCAAACTTTCCATGCAATTTTCTACTTTCAAAGGCCACAAATTCTGCAAAAATCTTCCAGAAATTTTAAATTACTAAAGGCCACAACTACTGTGAAAAACTCGCCCAGGCAATACGAAAACCCAAAGCCAATCTGTATAACTTCTTGTAATATGACTTTATATCAAATATCAAATTAATAGATAAAAGCATTACAGAAAAAAAACTTCCATAAATACTGAACACGCTCAAACGAAGCTGAAAACACAAACTCGGTCCTGAACTTCTTGTGGTAGGACTATATATTATCTATAAAACCAGTAATTATAGATGCATTACATGTAATAGAAAAAGTCCGTAAAACTTACCGCACGGACATGCTGCCGTGCAGATGGACGGACTCACTAATTGCCTAACTGACGGATGGACAGAAAGCAAACCTACGTGCAAGCCTCTAGACTTTGCCAGTAAGGGACTAAATAAGCCTGAATATACTGGATATCTCATGGCTTCAAGGTTCTGGTAGGTTGCTATTTGATGCTGATGAAAATATTACTATAAATAATGAAGACATAAGTGCGTCTTTATCAGGTGAATCTGCCTATTTGTCAAAAAAAAGTATTACAGACAAAAAAGCTATAGATCTTTTATATGTTAATTGTTGTGGCCTAAAACATAGACTACAATATCCAGAATTTGAAAGTTTGATCCGAAAACATGATGTCGTTTGCTTTGTTGAATCAAAAACTGACGATATGGATGATATTCATTTATCTGGTTACACATTAAAATTCAAAAATAGACGTAAAATATCAAGAGTTAAATCAGGTGGCATTGTAATCGGGTATAGAGAAAATCTGAATAACTCTATAGAAGTGATTGAAACAAATAGTAAATTTGTTCTATGGTGTAAAATTTCTAAATTTTTAAATAACGAGGATATACTTTTCGGAGTGGTCTATATCCCACCAGAATATACATCATATTCTTCCCCTGATGCATTCAATGAAATTGAAAATGAATACTTGGAATTTTCTACAACATTTGAACATATTTTTATTATTGGTGATTTTAACGCACGTACCTCAAATGAGAAAGATTATGTATTTATTGATGAAAAAGATATTAGTATTGATTTGGAAGGTGTACCTATAAATGATGTATGTAACTTAGAATTGTATAATATACCCAGAGATCGTATTAGTATGGATAAAGGGAAAACACGTTACGGTAATAATCTGCTTGACTTATGTAAATGTAACAACTTATTAATTATGAATGGTAGACTGGGAAATGATAAGACTGGGAAATTTACCTGCAGAAATGCTAGTGTTGTAGACTATTGTTTGAGTAATATTAACGTTTTAGAAAAACTTATTGATTTTGATGTACTAGAATTTTCACACTTGTATTCAGATGTTCATTGTCCATTGTATTTACGCTTAGAAAGCAACTCATTGATCACAGTTTGTAATGAACAGAACAGTCCTAATGATCAGTCAAGACAAAAGATTAATAAATGGGATCATAAAATGGTACCTAAATTTAGAGCTAATATAAATGTTGATAGATTAGACAGGTTGTTACGTAATTTGAAAAATGTGAATTTAGAAAAAGTTGATGATAAAAATGTCAACGCATTTGTAAATGAGATTAGATTAGTTGTTTTAGAGTCTGCTAAGACAACGTTTGGAACACGAACTGATAAACCAAAAAAGCGAGCCCCTAAAAAGAAGGGAGACAAGCCATGGTTTAATTATGACTGCAAATTTGCGAGGCAAAACTTTAGAAAGCTTAAGCGCAGGCTCAAATTTTCACCTTCGCTTTTATTATATAACGAAGTTAAAGATGCTGAGAGAAAATATAAAAAAGTTATGGACCAAGCCATAAAAACTCATAAACGTGATATGACTAAAAAATTAAAAAACCTCAGATCTCAAAATTCAAAAGAGTATTGGAATATTTTAAATAAGCGGGAACACACGAAACAACCGGACATAAATTTTGATAATTTACTAAATTTTTTCAGAGATCTAAATTCAGGCACCCCCGATCCTATTGAGTTACCAAATGTAGACCAATATGCTTTAAATGATTTAAATGGTACACTTAATGGTCCAATTACAAAGGACGATATTATGAATTGTATTAAGAAACTAAAAAGTAACAAAGCCTGTGGCGACGATATGATTATAAATGAATATATTAAATCTTCTAGTGATTTTTTAATTGATGTATATGTTGAATTGTTTAACTTAGTTTTTAGAACTGGGATTGTACCAGAATCTTGGGTAATTGGCACGATCAAACCATTTTATAAGAATAAGGGAAACAAATTTGATCCAAAAAACTATAGACCTATCACAATTGTCAGTTGTGTTGGGAAATTATTCA